TTTGTCCAGACAGGTTAAATTCAACGGGACTGGTTTCTGCAGTCATTTGAGACGTGTGTCTCATGTCCACGAAATGCATTTTATCAATTCCCGTCATAGCTCGAGGTTCCGGAAAAAGATCTAATTCTTCTAAAGGCATATCTTGATGGGTGGAAGGCGTGTAACAAGCCATTATTTCTTCTTCTTGGTAAACTTATCTTCCGGGAAAGTAAGCTTTCTTCTCTTAGGAGCTTCGCGGTTCGATCCGTTACCTTTGACGTTCCGAACAGAACTGCTACGTTTTCTCTCGCAAGTCTTATTTATACCGTCCTCATTGTTCATCTTTTGAAGCACTTTGGCCTGGTCGACCACCTGTTGAGTGGGTGCCGTAAGGACCACATCCACCGTTTTGACCTCTTTTTCTTTCTCCGGGGCATGGTCCGATTCGATGTTCACCCTGATTTTCCCAATATCGAATATAAGCTTGTATGGACATTTTCTTATGCATTTTGGGATATCCCATTGCTTGAAGCCAGTAATATTTATAATACATCTTATCCTCCTCTTTCGATCCTGGTACGTACAGTTTCCAGTAAGAGCTACTCATGATGTGCGCACGGGTCCCAGGTTCTCGGTGGAATGATGTCTGTTCTGCATAGATTCTCTTTATATAGTTCACTCGATACCCCTGTCCCATAGGACATTTTCAACATGTCAAGGGTAATGGTTTGATGTGAACTGTCGCTGTTACTGTTCCCGTGATAAAGATCGCTGGTTGTCCTTCGTGGTCCTTTACATATACCTCCAGGGTGTTCACCTCATTACCTTTCAGGGGCACGTAGTAGGGCTGGGGGAAGAAAAACTCTTTTTCTTCCTTGTTGCTTCTCAAAAACAGATGACGTAAGAAAGGTTCCTGCCGGGGTCCCACATAGGACGTATCGCAGAGGGTGGACCCTACGTAAACGTGGTGATCTTGACCTCGTTGAGCTTCCCAGTTACTGAGCGTGATGTCGCACAAGGCCATCACCCAGCGGGTTCCGTCTAGCTGCATAGGTGGATTCAGGGTCACCCTAAAGGTGTGTCCTTGGTTCTGGGGGTACAGATCTTGACAGTCTGTACTTCGGAGCACCAGGTATTTATCCATGTTTCTTAATCTTTGGGTTTGGGAAGTAAATAGCCCAGAGAACTGCTCAACAGGGCTGTCCACAGGTTGGAATTGCCTCGGTCTAAGGACAAGTTGATGATGCACGTGATGACCACAAAATAAATGATGATAATCTGGGAGAAAAAGACAGTTTCCGTTTTGGCGACTTTTCTACCCCAAAATGTCCAACTCTCAGATGGGTGACTCCCTGTCATAGGTGTGACTTGTTCCGCATCTTCCATCGCTACTGATGTGACTCGGTAGAGTTAGCGCTATATATTTTAGGTCTGATAATGCTTCACATCCTCTTCAGGAATCCACGAGTTATATTTCTTAGGCCAATGAAGCCATTTCACCAAAACTTCTTTCCGTTTGTTTTGTGTTCTTCTTTTGATAATTTCTTGTATCCTGTATTCTTGATCAGGATTTTCGGTAACGGATTGAAGTTTAGCTGCATAAAAGGTGCCTTCGATTGGATCACCTCCCCAATCTTTCAATTTGTACAAGTCGTTATCTTGAGACCAGTAGCGACTAGTAATGGTAAAGATTTCACCCGACCATTTCTCCTGGTATTCTCTGTCGAACGTCTGTCTCAGATGACTCACTCTTACTTTATCTCCCACCTGGATGGTATATTTTCGCTTCATGTTCTTTCTCACTGGTTTCCGTCCTTTCATCTTGATCAAATATTGATTTAGTCTTACTTCACTCTCGTTGGCCTTAGTTACGCTATTAGGCGTTTGACCTAACATTCTGTGATTCGTGTTGTTTTAACTTTCAACTACTTTGGGTACAATGTCTATATACCGATGAGTAACACGTTTCAACATGTATCGGTACAACCTCATTTTGATGACTCTTTTGGCATAGGGGGCTTTCGTTTCGTTCAGAGTAAATAGTTGTGTCACTTTGTGCTTTTTCAAAAAGACTTTAACCCAACGATTCTTAAATTCTGATCCCATATCCGATTGAAAAATATTAGGCCTCCGACCTCGAGTATTCCATAACTCAGTCAACGCATTCACCACCTCTTGGCCCTTGGTAGACTCGAGTGGAAAGACCCAGATATATCTGGAGAACAAGTCTATCACGACCATCAGATATTTGATTCCATCGTTGTACTTGGCTAAATATGTCATGTCCATAAGATCAGATTGCCAATGACTGTCTAAACCTTCAACCACGTACTCATTTCGGGAATTTTCGTCTGACCTGATGAGTCATGGTATAAATGTCTTGTTCCTTCAACCATTTCTTGATTCTATGTAAGCCAATTTTATACCGTCCCTCGGCTTTCACTGCTTCGTATAGTTTCTTAGGACCGGCATAACTACCGGGATGTTCGGGGTCGTAATACATTTTGCTCAGGTACTCTTCCCACGGAGCCATGACGACAAACTAACGACTGATATCTAAAACATCGCTTTTTATACAGCTCTCTCTCTACTTCCGGTCTGGAACACTCCTACCATTCTGATGTATTGACAGTCGGGGGACCATTTTTCGTGTTTGATCCACGGATTGTCCATGCTCTTCCATTCCTTCAGACGTATGCCGCATTTGAAACACGTACAAGAGTCTCCTCTGTCCAGATAAGTTAAACCAGCTTGAGCCATATCTCTTGGGTCTTGACTCATTTGAATAGGCCAGTTCTGTGATATAGATATGTCGTTGTCAATACACAACCGCGATCACTGACCACATGCAATTTGAACTTAACACCAATCAGGCTATACACCATAAACAAAACGCATTGATTTATGGCCCGAGTTCGGTCTCTGTCACGTTATGTAATTACACAGACAGGCAGGTGTGATACTTGAACACATGACATGTTATGATGTCTGTTGATTGCAAAATGTTATACACAAAAAATGAGCATGTATTTACAAAACCCAACATCTCTATATATACACACACAATGAACCGGGAAGGCGGTATCTGCTAATGAACCAGCCGTTACACTTGAGTGCACACCCACCCGCTCTGACTGGGTTCGGTATCCCGGCTGCTTCGTTTCGAGGGAGGTAAACCCAAGTACAAAATATTGCACTTTTGATTGGCGATTATACGCTTATAATTTTGTTTATTTGTTTTTTCATAATCAGCCATGCATATTATATATCATGAAGAAGTCATAATTGTGTTTTAATTATGTTTGATTTTTTTGGTTGCATGTGACCTTTAAAGGAGTCCAACCTTTTCTCGAACGAATTCGAATCCAGCTTTGGGGGCAATGTTGCAGCGCAATCGGCAACCACGTGCTGGTCGAGATAACTGCAGACGTCCATCGTATTCTTGAAGTCCGATCCAGTCTCCGTACCCAGTAACTTCAACGCTTTCGACTCTCCGCATTCCTCTAACGCTTTACAGAAGGCGGTGTAAGCTCCGGGTCCGCGTCTTGGCAAGGTGAACAAGAGTTCTCTAATACGATCGTAAGTCGTTTGATATTTTTCCATAATTTCGGCTTCCATGAATTTGGTGAGGACTTTACACTCTATCAATTTTTGTACCACGTCTTCTACACGGCGTATACTTCCCACGAGTCCCACCTGGTTCTGTCTGAGAATATCCCTGTGCGACGCTTCCATATTCAAATCGCAGAGACGCACTAAGTCACGTCTTCGCGGTCCAACGTCTATGGAGGTAATGGCGAGACGAAGGAACACGAGTTATTATTCGTGATCCTAATCACGTGACATTCGTCCTTAACTACCGTGCCCCGTCTACGAAGCGAATGACTAACTTTGTACAATGTCACGGGATTTCATCCTCCTGTCACGTGGTATCTACTAGTTCCAATAATCGTTGGGGTTACAGAAGCTACACCTCAGATAACCCACCTGATTTTGGTGATCCTCTTGAAGAATACAAGGAATCATGTCTTTCAATTAGGGAACATAGTCAAACATCTCCGGAATGCAACTCTTCAGCCTCTCCCATTTATCCTTAGAAAGAATAATTCCTTTTTCATCTGTCAGCTGTTTAGTTTCGTGATCCCAAGTCCACTTTCTAACATCCACTCCGTGGCCATCGTCTAAGGTAAGGTAGAGATTACCCCCCAGATGAATACTGCGCCCTCAGTCCCTTCTTTTCTAGCTTCGTCCACTTGTAACGAAACCATCGGGTAAACTGAGCCATTGCTTCAAGTTCAGACTCAGACCTGATTTGGTAGGATAAGACTTGCCGTTGCGATACGTGACGTATTTTCTGATATGTATACCCAGCTTGCCATGCCACATCTTGGCCGACACGTACACTTTGTCGCCTAATTCCAAATGACAACGCGAATTCGGTTCCACTACGACTTGCGCTGAGAGAGACTTCGGGACATCGTTAACCGCTGAAGTCATGTTTAACATCGACATCTACCAGAGATATGAGTCGACGCGAAAACCTCACCAGTACTTTATAGGCACAACACTGAAAATGAATATAAATGAATTGGGTGAAATTATGATCGATGCCTCAGACCGTTTTTGATCGGTAAACAGAAGATTGGGTGAAAATTATGAAACTCTTCGCCCTCTCGGACCGTTTTGATCGAAATTGATTAAACAGAGGCCTCAGATTGGGTGAAAATTATGATCGGAAACTCTTCGGCCGCCCCGGACCGTTTTGATCGAAATTCGATCAAACAGAGGTATATACAACAGACGGGCATTGACAGGATGCTATCCTTTTCACATTGAGGAAACATCTGACGATAGGCACATACGATGACATACCAAGTCAGCGAGACTGACCACCCGATCCTGTTATTCGCCTCTTACGACAAGCATGTGTTACTGAAGATCATTTCTAACCCGGATCGTCACGGGTAACTTCTGAAGAAAGTTTTATGTCTGAGCTTTAGGTATATTTCTCTCCATTTTAGTCCATCCTCGGAGCCTGTTCAGGAGTGATATGCGGCGAACACGAGGAGTGCAGATTGTCCAGAACGAGGCTGCCTTTCTGTACGTCGGCCAGTACACTGAAGGAAAAGGAAGAAATCACCACATCTGCCTCAATGGCAACAGGTGAGGGCAGAAACTTGAATGATGAAACCACTGGTCACACGCTGTGGCAACAAGGTAGGACCAGAGTTCACTGCGTCCAAACGTTCAGGTTCCATCGAGGCTTGTGTCGGCTATCGACGAGGTCGGTTGTGTAACTGACTGACTGAGTTTGGTTTTACGCCGCTTTTAGCAATATTCCAGCAACATCACGGCGGGGGACACCAGAAATGGGCTTCACACATTGTGAGGTCGGTTGTGTAAGATATCGTTCCCTCATTTATATTTATATATACAGTAGAACATGGTTATAGCGAACACGGATATAGCGTACAAACGGATATAGCGAACAAATTTAAAAGTCCCGTCAACAGTCCTTTATAACATCATTAAAATTATACGTGCTTCTTTGTGGTTTATCTGGACATTATAAATGTAAGCTTGCATTTTGATTAAAACAAATTTATTTAAGTTGTAGTTGTATTATTTCAATTTTATTATAAAAATAAACTTCATATTATCAACATGATATAGGTAATGTCTGTGAATGTCTATATCTCCATTCTGTACTCATATTACCAAGGTAAGTTTAGAACATGATCAGCGTAAACTGTTGGCTTAGTTTTCATATTTTTCTTTGTTTTGGTGAAGTGTAAAAGACCCCACGTGGCATGTCTCATTTTTCGCTAAATATCGTTATGGATAGTAGTATTGACGGGCATGAGCAGTGGTAGGAATCATATAGAAAGAACCATAAAACACTGGTCGAAATATTCCTCTAACAAGGATGTTTACTTCCAGGTTCTGAAATAACAGAATGGTACAATGTATCAACTTGTATTTAGCACTTATTATCATGAAACAACACTTGTGAATATCCCATTATAAAGAAACTACAGCAATAAGTTCACAATACATGACACTGTCATGCAATGACTGCTCCCAAGTTTCACGAAACTTTGAAAAAGTCTAGCAAAACTACAGATAGTAAATTCCATGAATTAACACTGAGCATGTTGACTTTATATTGATTCTAAAACTACAAACTGACTCTAAAATCCCGACATTATAACAGAAATCTGCCATATAGTTACAAAACTCAATGTATCAGAGCGCACCATTACCACGAAAATAGGATACACTTTTGCACGTATTTGAAATAATTGAACATTCCTGTAATTGCAAAAATACTCTGAAAATAGTGTAATACACCGCCACAAACATGGATATATTATAAGACTGATATTTGTACCTGAAGAGTGCATATCGACCGTCTCTGAAACTTCAACATTCAATATATATCCTTGCTCTCGACAAACCATCGCTGGTCACTCATGCACTCCCTCGCAGTAAACTCTCAACAGCCAGGGAGCATCTATTGTATCAAATGTCAGGGACTACTACTGTCAGAGAACTTAAACTACTGGTCAAATAAAGATATTATTCCAAACTAGTACACAAGATGCAAAATATAGCTGCACATTTCCTGACTAGAAACAATTCTGCAAAATATTATGATTACATCAGGGAAAACCAAACGAATTGTAGTCATGACCATACTAAACATACACTATTAGTCTCTTAAACCAAAACAGTTACAACATAATAAGACTGTCTGCATGGTACATGTTGTTGCAAGCCGTCTTTCTACTTCCCATGCAGGTGCTCCTACAAGTACACCAAAACCACCCACTGTACCAAATGTTGCCCCCTGAAACAATTTTGTATACAGTTCGCTTGCAAAAGAAGTTCGATCAAATAAATCAGCCCTACTGAAACTAGGAGTGGCTGTCGATATCGATGATAGAGATCGATAATCGTTAAACAAATATCGAGTGATTACCGATAAATGTCGGAAAAGTAACTTCTAGCAGAAAAACCCAAAAAGTCTGAAAGAGTGAGTGAGCGAGTGAGTACTCTGGGCCAGCAATATCACGGCTGGGACACCAGAAATTGTACCCATGTGGGGAACTGAACCCGTCTTCGGCGCGAAGGGCGAACGCCTTATAAATCGTGATATTGCTGGAGTATTGCTGAAAGCGGTATTAAACAAAACTCACTCACTTATGTTACAGGTTCTTGGATGAGGAAGGAAACGCCTTGGTCCTTAATTCAACAGTATGTTCAACTGACAAATGAAGAACTGAAGCATATCTTCATCAACTCCAGTCTCATCTTCAGAGTGAAAACCTGCAATGATGCTAACTTCCGACTTGGCAGATCTGGACCAGATACAGTCGTTATAGGGGGTAAAAGAAATACTAAGATGTGGATCAATGGATGTGAAATAAATCATGCACATGGGATTTTGTCCTGCACAGAGTTCAGATCATTCTGGTTTACGTTTAAGAATAGTACCATTTCAGTTGGGAGAGGGGAGAAGGTTGGGGAGCGTGGCCTCATGAATTGCAGTATCCGTGGCAACAAGGCATTCGGAATGTATATAACTACGTTCATAAAAAATCCTGGAACATGGCTGTTCCGAAAACGTACCGGTTAAATTGAAAACCAGCGATAAGCATCTTTCATGGCAGCATCATATTTGGTACACGTTCATAAATCGACCTTAAGGTTAAGATGCTCTCAATGCTGGTTTCGGAGCGGTGGGGTAGCCTGATGGTTAAAGCGGTCGCTCGTCACACCGAAGACCCGGGTTCGATTCCTCACATGGGTACACTGTGTGAAGCTCATTTCTGGTGTCCCCCACCGTGATATTGCTGGAATATTGCTAAAAGCGGCGTAAAACCAAACTCACTCACTCACTCAATGCTGGTTTCCCTCGTCACACCGAACACCCGGGTTAGATTCCCCACATGGATACAATGTGTGAAGCCCATTTCTGGTGTAATATTTCTGGAATATGGCAAAAATCGGCGTAAAGCTAAACTCACTCAATACTGTTGACATAACCAACATTGTGCATAGCCGTTAAGATGAGGGTGACCCCATCCTTCCCACTAAATCCCGAAAACCATCACAGTTTTCGGGGTGAGTTTAAACCCTTGAATCCCGAATACATTAACACAAATCTCAAAAGCACAAAAGCCGAAATTTGGGGATTTCAATTATTTGAATGAGTGCAGACAAAATGTTTTAAGAAAAACATATATGTTTTAAATTAGTCATTAAATTGTAATGTTATTTTAGGAGATTGGGTGGATTGTGTATTGTACATTTACTGGAGTAAACAACAGGCTGCCTAGGCAATGCAGCGGCATATGCTGCAAATGGCCTTTCACGGATAATATACGTCAAACAGATTCTTTTTAAACACGACTTTGGTTTCAATTTGTTTGTCTTATTAAGTAAAGCAAGGTATCATCAAGGACTATCGGCAATGACAAATGAATTTCAATAACAACCCAAAATTAATATCATACTCCTAGAACTCTTTTGGACATGGAGGATCCGTGAAAATCCGGGTTCGAATTGACCTTCAGTAAGCCATGCTTGTCGTAAGAGGCGACTAACGGGATCGGGTGGTCAGGCTCGCTAACTTGGTTGACACATGTCATCGGTTCCTAATTGCGTAGATCGATGCTCATGCTGTCGATCACTGGATTGTCTGGTCCAGACTCGATTATTTACAGACCGCCGCCATGTTGCTGGCATATTGCTGAGTGCGGCGTAAATCCCAACTCACTCACTCACTTTGGACATTGAGTGCTGTCTTTATGAGGTGAAGGTAAGAATATATCCGTAAGTATTATCTACATTTTAGACGCGATTGTCAGTACCTAATGATTAAGCACGAACGCAGGCAGATGTGAAAGAAAGTCGATAATCTAATCTCGATGTGGCTTTGATTTTGAGAAAAATGAGTTTCAATTTTTACTTGCATGTGAAGCATTTACAGATTTATTCATAGCAGGTGTCGTGGCAACACATCAGAAACATATTTTGTTAGCTTTGTCAACTCTGAATATATCATACATTAGTAAATCTGGATAGATATATTCTATTTCCTGTGAAATGTATTCTATATCCTGTGAAATGCATACTATATCCTGTGAAATATATTCTATTTCGATACCCATATCCTGTTAAATGTATTCTATATCCTGTGAAATGCATACTATATCCTGTGAAATGCATACTATATCCTGTGAAATATATTCTATTTCGATACCCATATCCTGTTAAATGTATTCTATATCATGTGAAATGTATACCTTATCCTGTGAAATGTATTCTATTTCATGTGAATTGTATTCTATATCATGTGAAATGTATACCGTACCCTGTGAAATGTATACCATATCATGTGAAAGGTATACTATACCCTGTGAAATGTATACCATATCCTGTGAAATGTATACCATTTCCTGTGAACTATATACCGTACCCTGTGAAATGTATTCTCTTTCCTTTGAAATGTTTGCTATATCCTGTAAAAAGTGTATACCATAGCCTGTGAAATTTATTCTGTATCATGTGAAATGTATACTATATCCTGTGGAATGTATACTAGATATATCCTGTGGAATGTATACCAGATACCCTGTGTGGAATGTACACTATATCCTGTGGAATGTATACTAGATCTGTGGAATGTATACTAGATCTGTGGAATGTATACTAGATCTGTGGAATGTACACTAGATCTGTGGAATGTATACTAGATCTGTGGAATGTACACTAGATCTGTGGAATGTACACTAGATCTGTGGAATGTATACTAAATCTGTGGAATATTCTGTGTGGAATGTATACTAGATCTGTGGAATATACACTAGTATCTGTGGAATGTACACTAGATCTGTGGAATGTACACTAGATCTGTGAATGAATGTCTGTTATACATATAGATCTGTGGAATGTACACTAGATCTGTGGAATGTAGTATCTGTGGAATGTACACTAGATCTGTGGAATGTACACTAGATCTGTGGAATGTACACTAGATCTGTGGAATGTACACTAGATCTGTGGAATGTACACTAGATCTGTGGAATGTACACTAGATCTGTGGAATGTATACTAGATCTGTGGAATGTACACTAGATCTGTGGAGTGTAATGGAAAGATGTAGAAAATGTAGTCTGTCCACAGGACTGGCTGGTCAAATTTTACCAGTCCTGCCAAAATCTAGCCTGTCCTCCAAATATAAATAAAACATAAAAATATTCAAAAAGGTTATTATCATTATATATATGTCATTGGTTTGCTAAAACTGACCTGACATGAGGACGGACTAGATTTATTTTTAACCCGTCCTCCACAAAATTCACCCGTCTCGGACGTTGGGACGGGCTATCTTTCCCTACACTGACTATATCCTGTGGAATATATTCATTACGGCATGTTCCCCGTTTTCCTACATCATATTTTGGCCAATTTACACTACCTACTATATACAATGGACTAGTCCAAGTCAGTCCTAATGTCTTTATTAATTACTATCATATTATGATAATACTGTCTCAGGTAATTGGATTCAGAAACTTTATGAAGCTTGATCAAGTGTCCTGCTGCGTCAATGGACTGAATGACTGTCCTTCTGGTCACAAACTGCTGTTTTAGACGCTGTAGACAATGGTCAGTGTCTCTATATACACGTGGTCTTGGTTGGCAAGTTGCACTATGGTCCAGCTGTAGACGGGCTCTTCTGTCAGTCGTTTCTTTCTTCTTAATTGTTTGTATGAATTCATGCAGGCTAGAGTGGGCACTCTTGATCTGCTTCTTCAATTCACTATGGCATCCCTCCAGGTGATTGCTGGATCTTGGTCCCAGGTTATCATGCTGGTTCCACAACCGAAGAAGGAACGGGCATCATAATCTACCCAGGTCTGGGTCGCATAGTCATTGAAGGCTGTGATCTTCTTGCCATTGGGAACTTGGTTCATAACCATCTCAGTTATCGTAAACACAGGCAGTTTGTGATCTTCTCGCCATAGGGAACTTGGTTCATAACCATCTCAGTTCTCGTAAACACAGGCAGTTTGTGATCATCTTGCCATTGGGAACTTGGTTCATAACCATCTCAGTTCTCGTAAACACAGGCAGTTTGTGATCTCCTCGCCATAGGGAACTTGGTTCATAACCATCTCAGTTCTCGTAAACACAGGCAGTTTGTGATCTTCTCGCCATAGGGAACTTGGTTCATAACCATCTCAGTTCTCGTAAACACAGGCAGTTTGTGATCTCCTCGCCATATGGAACTTGGTTCATAACCATCTCAGTTCTCGTAGGCACAAGCAGTTTGTGATCTTCTCGCCATATGGGAACTTGGTTCATAACCATCTCAGTTCTCGTAAACACAAGCAGTTTGTGATCATCTTGCCATTGGGAACTTGGTTCATAACCATCTCAGTTCTCGTAAACACAGGCAGTTTTGTGATCTCCTCGCCATAGGGAACTTGGTTCATAACCATCTCAGTTCTCGTAAACAAGGCACAAGCAGTTTGTGATCTTCTCGCCATATGGAACTTGGTTCATAACCATCTCAGTTCTCGTAAACACAAACAGGTTGTGATCATCTTGCCATTGGGAACTTGGTTCATAACCATCTCAGTTCTCGTAAACACAGGCAGTTTGTGATCTTCTCGCCATAGGGAACTTGGTTCATAACCATCTCAGTTCTCGTAAACACAAGCAGTTTGTGATCATCTTGCCATTGGGAACTTGGTTCATAACCATCTCAGTTCTCGTAAACACAAGCAGTTTGTGATCATCTTGCCATTGGGAACTTGGTTCATAACCATCTCAGTTCTCGTAAACACAGGCAGTTTGTGATCTCCTCGCCATAGGGAACTTGGTTCATAACCATCTCAGTTCTCGTAAACACCTGGTGGGGGTTTGGGTGAGTGTGATCACTGGTGGAAGTGACATGATCGCCAATGGTACTACAGTGGCCCTTACATCCTTGAAGAACAAATGTTGGAACAGCATACCTTGAGCATCCTCTACTCATTAACCCTTGGAGAAGCCTGTTCTCTCATGATCAAAGTTTGATTGTAACTGACTCAGTTTGGTTGTACGCCGCTTTTAGCAATATTCCAGCAACATCACGGCGAGGGACACCAGAAATGGGCTTCACACATTGTACCCATGTGGGGATTCGAACCCGGGTCTTCGTGATGAGCCAACGCTTTTACCATTAGGCTACCCCACCGCCCGTTTGATTGTAAGAACAGTGTCTTGGGAGATAATCTTCTTGTGTGTACTCACATAATCCTTTTACTATTAACAACAACATATAGAAACAGTATGTATGGTAAGGTTCCATGGCTACTTTATTTCACTTATGGAGAAGCCTTTTCTCTCATGATCAAAGTATGTGAGTATGGTAAGATCAAAATCCAACAGTCATGTTGTCAGTCACTTGGAGCAGAGTAGTGTATCGGCATAGGTAATTATACTTGGGGGCATCATTCCCCTAGCCCCTGTCCCCTGGTTGTTACAAGCCACTAATTAGTACCTCTAGCCCCGTCCCCCTGTTGTTACAAGCCACTAATTAGTACCTCTAGCCCCTGTCCCCCTGTTGTTACAAGCCACTAATTAGTACCTCTAGCCCGTCTCCCTGTTGTTACAAGCCACTAATTAGTACCTCTAGCCCCTGTTGTTTACAAGTACCCCACTAATTAGGTACCTCCTAGCCCCCCTGTTGTTGAAGCAAGCCACTAATTAGTACCTCTAGCCGTCCCTGTTGTTACAAGCCACTAATTAGTACCTCTAGCCCCGTGTTGTTACAAGCCACTAATTAGTACCTCTAGCCCCTGTCCCCCTGTTGTTACAAGCCACTAATTAGTACCTCTAGCCCTCTGTTGTTACAAGCCACTAATTAGTTTCTCTAGCCCCCTGTTGTTACAAGCCACTAATTAGTACCTCTAGACCCCTGTTGTTACAAGCCACTAATTAGTACCTCTAGCCCCTCGCCTGGCTGTTCTGTTAGCTGTACTCACACCCCTGTAACTGGATTAACTGCAACAAAGCTCGTTAGGTTAGGTGTTTGTTGTGAATAGGTGACTACCAGTACTTAGGGAGATAATAGAGAATCATTGATCAGCCTTGTGATCAAACAATTAATGACCGATATTATGCTACAATTTGTGTGAGTGAATATTAAAAAGTCATAGAAATGTATGTTGTTCCAACATGACTTTGTCTCCTTGATGAATCTGTAGCTTTCAGATCTAGAGCAAAACAATTTCAATACTTGCATTCGTTGTGATTACACAATGCCATTTAGAAAGTGGTCAAATGTAACACATGTTATATTTGGGACTACACTTTCTTAGTAAAATACAGATTCTAGTACTTTTGTTGGGTTGAGTCCCATCCGGGATTCGAACCCACACCCTCAGAGTCAGGCACCTAATTGCCAGCACACAAAGTCAGATGCCTAGCCCGCTGAGCCACTGCAACTTTCACTGGCTGGCTGACGTACTATAACTGATTAACACACAAACAAGCCTGCCTTGGTGTCCAGGGCAATGAAAACCAAAATATGAAATGTAAAATATATTTATTTACATTATTATGTACAGTTGATGTTTGAATGAAGGATGTGCTTGCTTCAACACGTGACTTGCATGATTTTCACACCCCACACAATGACCAATAACAACCAAGATTTTCTGGAGAATCTTGAAGCATATTGACTGACTGACTGACTGAGTTTGGTTTTACGCCGCTTTTAGCAATATTCCAGCAACATCACGGCAGGGGACACCAGAAATGGGCTTCACACATTGTGCCCATGTGGGGATTCGAACCCGGGGCTTTGGCGTGACGAGCCAACGCTTTAACCACTAGGCTACCCCACTGGCCCTGAAGCATATTGAGCTGATGTGACTTACTCCAGACATCTAATGTAACATATACATAATTTATATACACACCATTTGACATTATCTTGGCAGAATGGATTACAGTAACATCTGAATGTTAAAATTATTAATTATTATGTATTTTTTCAGTGCCAATGAAGGAGGTAATTCCATTTGCAATATCTGCTGAACTAACAGGGATATGTCTTGAACTTCCAACTAAGTGTCTTTGTGAGGTCAATATATCATTCTTATTGTTTGCTTTCTAAAGTTCTCTTTTTCAGAGATGTTATAACATCACATGTTAACAGAGGAGTCACCTATGTAAAATGAAGCCATTTGGTAATTTTGGGGTCATATTGTCCATGGAGTTAAAGTCTGCTCAACCAGCACATCACAGTACTTATGTTGCTTTACCACTATATTGTGTAGGATATGACAGTTTTTATGCCTACTTTGGCAAACTCGGGCCAAATATTGACTTCTGAGCAGGGCCTGGATTTTCGAAGTTCTCTTATCGCTAAGACAGTCGTAAGTTAATGTTACTGTATGGCACATATGACTATCTTAGCGCTAAGAGAGCTTTGAAAACCTAGGCCCAGGTCTAGACAAATCCATGAGCACCAACGATATCTGTAAAATACTCTTAGTGGTGGGATCACACAGTGAACCATTATATCTATAAGGTTCCTTTTACAAGCAGGCTTAGGTTCCTAAGGACCAATTCTGACCTGGAATGCTTCTATTCAGCTAAACAAGAAGATGCACTTCCCTCAAGGACTGTACCTCCATTGTGTCAATTTGACCAAACTTGAGAAACGTCTTTGGTGAGAACTGTTTCAACACACTGTACCATCATCAAAGGTACATGCACAGCAGCAGTGTATGCATCCTGTGTATTGGAACTTGGTCCTCGTGATGATCTTAACATTAAGATCATCAGTCCTTCTTAGTGTGGGAGTCAAAATCGTTTTGGAGCTATGACTAAACTTTGGAATGAAATTCACTCCTACACCCCATACAGTCAACTCTGTGTCTTTACTTCCAATATACATCCCTGCAATGGGAAGCACTTGGAGGTCCAATATACATCCCTGCAATGGGAAGCACTTGGAGGTCCAATATACATCCCTGCAATGGGAAGCACTTGGAGGTGCGGAGATGGAGATGAAGCTTCACAGGTGGCGTACAATCCATTTGTCTTCAGACAACAAACATTTCAATCATTCAGAAGGACTGGCTTCAGTGAGTATCAGTCTTGTGACAGCCGACCTCAGAGAGGGCAGTCGTAGATGTGTATTGCTTTATCGTCTGAGACGGACACAATCTTGGAACCATTACTGTTATAGGTGGCGCTCCATACCTGAAAAAAACATACCAAACATCTCATTGTGAATTGGAGGGATTTGTTGTGGGAATAGTCTAAATGTGCTTGAAGATTTACGCTTCTAATGCCTAAGGCTAGAAAATGTAATTTGTTAGATGTGTAGAGAAATCAGTTTCTCACAGCACAGTCAATTTCATGACAAAAAGTAATGATTACACTGCCATTAGTTTGTTTGTTTGGTTGTTGTTTAATGATGAACTCAGCAGTATTCCAGCCATACAGTGGCAGTCTGTAAAAGATCAATTCTGGACCAGATAACCCAGTGGTCGATGTCATGAGCATCAATCTACACGACTGGCTAGCAAAATTTGGAACCTATATCACACACTGCTATATTGTGGTAAAGTTGGTCAATGATACATCAACAAAGGGCTTCATGTTTGTTATTTGATTGTGAAGAGTGCATGAGGTCTACTGGTTCTACTGTGGTGACGAGGGAGACTGGAACCCTCAGTAACATTCTGGCCATGTGAGAACAACTGTTTTCCTTACCTGGTCAGAGTGCTCATAGAATGTGTGGACACACTGCCGAGTTCCGGCATTCCAGATCTTCACGGTTTTATCAGATGACCTGGAAGATGAACAGCAGGTGAGTGAGTGAGTTTGGTTTTATGCTGTCTTTAGCAATATTCCAGCGATATCACAGCAGTGGATACCAGAAATGGGCTTCACACTGTGGGGAATCGAACCTGGGTCTTCAGCGTGTTGAGCGAATACCTTAACCACTAGGCCACCCTACGTCCCAAGATTAGCAGGTCATAGAGGTGATAGTACAGTAGGCATCTTCAAATAAGACTTGGACCTCTTTCAACAGTTACATTTTGATTTTCAAAAGCAAACTGGCCCAAACTGACAACGTCGTGTAATATTCAATTCAGGCTTCAACCACTATCGAGTCTCCCTCCCGGAAATCCAAGCACATGCAAATTTGGGTCCTCCTGGTGGTTCTTACAGGTGTATAATCAAACTTGATATGGTGGATAACATGAAGGGAGATAACTCCATGGTAACTCATTTCGTAGTCAATGTGGGTGTTACCTTACCCTGAGACAAACTGGGCGTTAATTTTCCCTGAGACAAAGTGGGCATTATCTTACCCTGAGAGAAACTGGGCGTTAATTTTCCCTGAGACAAAGTGGGTGTTATCTTACCCTGAGGCAAGGTTGGTGTTATCTTACCCTGAGACAAAGTGGATGTTATCTAAACCCTGAGACAAAGTGGGTGTAATCTTTGAGAACCCTGAGACAAAGTGGGTGTTATCTTACCCTGAGACAAAGTGGGTGTTATCTTACCTGAGACAAAGTGGGTGTTACCTTACCCTGAGACAAAGTGGGTGTTATCTTACCCTGAGACAAAGTGGGCATTATCTTACCCTGAGACAAAGTGGGTGATATCTTACCCTGAGGCAAGGTTGGTGTTATCTTACCCTGAGACAAAGTGGATGTTATCTTACCCTGAGACAAAGTGGGTGTTATCTTACCCTGAGACAAAGTGGATGTTATCTTACCCTGAGACAAAGTGGGTGTTATCTTACCCTGAGACAAAGTGGATGTTATCTTACCCTGAGACAAAGTGGATGTTATCTTACCCTGAGACAAAGTGGGTGTTATCTTACCCTGAGACAAAGTGGGTGTTATCTTACCCTGAGACAAAGTGGGTGTTACAATACCCTGAGACAAAGTGGATGTTATCTTACCCTGAGACAAAGTGGATGTTATCTTACCCTGAGACAAAGTGGGTGTTATCTTACCCTGAGACAAAGTGGTTGTTACAATACCCTGAGACAAAGTGGATGTTATCTTACCCTGAGGCAAAGTGGATGTTATCTTACCCTGAGACAAAGTGGGTGTTATCTTACCCTGAGACAAAGTGGGTGTTATCTTACCCTGAGACAAAGTGGGTGTTATCTGGGCAGAAGGAGACACTGAGTACCCAGTCTCCATGGCCTGACAGGGTTCCTGCTAGGTTGGCATGTTGGCTGGAAATAATGAAATGTTGAGATAAAATTAATACTATCACTGGACCACACAGCAAGAACAAGTAGATATTTGGTGTGGGAGCTGTGTTTGTTTGTTTGTTTTTTAAAGCCGCACTGAGCAATATTCCAGCTATATGGCAGCAGTCTGTAAACAATATTGGGAAAGAGGGGTGCACACTTCATTTTCACAAGTTTCAATGGTCTAAACATTCAGGACAAAAGGTGTGTGGTCGCGGCGCACCCTGCACGCACAATTTATTACTACAAATAATATGGAAAAAGGATATAACAAAGAAGAAGGATAACAAATTAAAACGATTTTGAAAACGCAACTCCACACCCATGCTACTGAAAGATATTCTGCTGTCTTACTTTTAGTTTTACACTGAATCGCACAAACGTTGTGGGTAATAGCACACACACACACACACACACCCTGGTCTAGTTACTCCATCCAATCCACCACAGATGTATCTATGATCCACAACTAGGGTGGGGCTGTTCCTGTCTCACTCACAGGGGCCATCAGGTAGGCCTGTCTACTCACACATCATATATCTTGATATTTCCATCGTCTGATGCCGTGACCAGAAGCTGGGAGTCAGGAGAGAAGCACAGAGACCTGATAGGCATAGCGTGACCTGGAAGAGACAAAGATGTCACGTGACTTCTTCATGGGTTTTGTATACCTCAAGCAGTGTCCTGCTAAGATATTAGACAAGTGGGGAGAGGGACCCCTTCAGTGTACAATAGTGGTATTCCGATTAATTGAAATAATTGAAGATTGGTCACAGTATCCCTTCAACGACATTGGACAAGTGGGGAGAGGGACCCCTTCAGTGTACAATAGTGGTGTTCCAATTAATTGAAATAATTGAAGATTGGTCACAGTATCCCTTCAACGACATTGGACAGGTGGGGAGAGGGACCCCTTCAGTGTACAATAGTGGTGTTCCGATTAATTGAAATAATTGAAGATTGGTCACAGTATCCCTTCAACGACATTGGACAAGTGGGGAGAGGGACCCTTCAGTGTACAATAGTGGTATTCCGATTAATTGAAATAATTGAAGATTGGTCACAGTATCCCTTCAATTGGCGACATTGGACAAGTGGGGAGAGGGACCCCTTCAGTGTACAATAGTGGTGTTCGATTAATTGAAATAATTGAAGATTGGTCACAGTATCCCTTCAACGACATTGGACAAGTGGGGAGAGGGACCCCTTCAGTGTACAATAGTGGTGTTCCGATTAATTGAAATAATTGAAGATTGGTCACAGTATCCCTTCAACGACATTGGACAAGTGGGGAGAGGGACCCTTCAGTGTACAATAGTGGTGTTCCGATTAATTGAAATAATTGAAGATTGGTCACAGTATCCCTTCAACGACATTGGACAAGTGGGGAGAGGGACCCCTTCAGTGTACAATAGTGGTGTTCCAATTAATTGAAATAATTGAAGATTGGTCACAGTATCCCTTCAACGACATTGGACAAGTGGGGAGAGGGACCCCTTCAGTGTACAATAGTGGTGTTCCAATTAATTGAAATAATTGAAGATTGGTCACAGTATCCCTTCAACGACATTGGACAAGTGGGGAGAGGGACCCCTTCAGTGTACAATAGTGGTGTTCCAATTAATTGAAATAATTGAAGATTGGTCACAGTATCCCTTCAACGACATTGGACAAGTGGGGAGAGGGACCCCTTCAGTGTACAATAGTGGTGTTCCGATTAATTGAAATAATTGAAGATTGGTCACAGTATCCCTTCAACGACATTGGACAAGTGGGGAGAGGGACCCCTTCAGTGAACAATAGTGGTACTTAAGATTGGTCGCAGTGACCAAACAACCAAGCAATCGATCACATTTTCTCATAATCGAACACAAACGATTTGGAACGACTGTTTTAGTGTTTGAAACACTTGACGATTGAATATATCTTAGAAGTTGTCAGGGCCTGAAGATGTGTTTAATTCTTAGAAAACTCACTTCCCTTACTGAAAAGTCATGACTGAATATTTCTTGAATACTCCAGGAAGTTTATTGAATACATCACAGCAAGTTGCAAGTACATTGGATGAAATTTTCAAATGCAATTTGTAATATATTAGTCATCTACATACATATTTATCACATAGTTGGTTGGTTTGTTGTTTAATGCCATACATCAGCCATACATCTACATCATACATACATAATATTGGTTGGTTTGTTGTTTTAATGCCGACTCAGCCATAGTCTATCTATAAATAATTGAGTCTTGATCGGACAATCTAGTGATCGACAACATGAGCATCAATCTTGCAATTGTGATACGATGAAATGTGTTAACCAAGTCTGACCACCCGACCCTGCACTAATATATATAGCGAAATGGATGCACGTGTATGCATGCAAATGTTCCTGTAGGACTCCAGACTGATGATGGGTTCATGGTGATACCCCACTGAGATACCATACACCTGCTCTGCAAGGATACCCATCTCAGAGACTGTATACTGACTGTAATCAAACAAATCCTTGTTTCATTGGTTTAGATTGAATTACTACTTTTAAATTTATATCTGTGATAATCTAGTTGTTTTACTGTCCTTCACTGACAGGTGTTTATAATATATTTTTAATTATTATAATTTATAACTGACTGACTGAGTTTGGTTTTACGCCGCTTTTAGCAATATTCCAGCAACATCACAGCGGGCGACACCAGAAATGGGCTTCACACATTGTACCCATGTGGGGATTCGAACCCGGGTCTTCGGCATGACAAGCCAACGCTTTAACCATAGGCTACCCCACCGCCCCTTATAACTTGATTTAGTCACGATATGGTTGAAATACTGCCGATGTGACTTAAAACCTTAACTCACTCACTCACTCCTTGTTTCACTCCCTTCATGCCGAGTGACAGGCAGGTACCTTATTTTAGCCTTTTAGTTGGTAGGCTGGTCGGTTGCAACACTAAGCAATATTCCAGTTGTATAATCAAGTCTGATCCAGACAGCCACATATCTTCAAACCTCTGTACAGGTGCCCTGTCCACTACACTATGAAGTCAGTTCAGTGAGTGCACAGGCATGGACCACAACAGTTAAAGGGGCACTGATCCAGAGCGATTAATGTTTCTCGCCTACAGTCTGATTACGAAACCTAGCTACAAGCTGGTCAGTACTGCTCCCTCGACCGTGACGGACACGGGGACTGGGCTACTGTCCACCTTGACAGAATTTCAACCTAAACAGTGGGACATTAGGAAGGGTGGATGCCCATCAGATGCAGTTATTTGAAAATATCCACGGTAGTTCTTGTATGATTGCCGTAAAGTATCCCAGCAGTGTAGGTTTTTCGGATTTTCGAATGCCTGGATGGTATAGTGACTGATGCAGCTTGATCCTATGCTTATATGTATTTCTTATGCAACAATGAAGTTCTGTTCGTATCCTCAAAATAGTGTCGGCCATAGGTTTTCACATGCAATTAAAATTGCATGCAATACAGCAAATAATACTCCCTTGTTGTAACCCATGTTAGGTGGTATAAACCTACATGTTATTTGTCATCATTCAGTTGATGGTCAGTTAATGAATTTATAACAGGTATAATTAGTGGTATCACCACTTAGATTACCCGACAAAGGTTCCCATTTAGCATTTCTCGTGTCGGGAGTAAATACTCAACATTATAAATAAAGGTCTGATGTGGCAAATGTATTACATGTTATGTAATATGCACATGGAAGTGTAGCAAGAAGAATTATCAGCTAAGTTACAAAAACAAACATCAATCAAAGAATTAACTGATAGTACGCTGATTGATTAATTACTTTTATCTTGCACAGCGGATTTGTCACAAGGTAGCGTTTATGTATGTAGATTTACTAATCTATACTGAATACACCCTGTCATAAAGTGCCTGTGTAGAAACAACGTCCTTCGTTCAAAGGATTAACCACCAATACATTGATTAAAACACTCATTGATGTCTTACTAAATTACTTTTTAAAGAATGGGGGACATCATGCAATTAGTTGTGTGCTATCTTCAGTGACCAATGAGACTATACACCAATGTTAAAAACCTGAAACGATATATCACTTTTTCGCATATTAGACTGTTAAAAGACACATGACATGGAACAGGATTCTTTGTCAGCTGCAGATGAATGGCATATCGTTCCTTTATGTGGATATTGATGGATACATTCCTTGAACAAGGTAATAGCCTGACATTGTTGTTATAACTTTAGTCTGTTTTAATTTTGATATTTGCATTTTGCTTTTATTTATTTGTTGTAGCATTCAACAGAATAATTTTTTTCACCGGGAAGTGTAAATGAGACAGACAACATACACTCGGTCGCACTTAGGGCGTGTGTGTGAAATATGATTCATGTTCAGATGTTTGATGGGCATTTAGAAGTTGGATGGTAACTAGTGTTGGGAATTGGTTAAAATCTCACAATTGATGATTGCTTCATTACCAATGAACAATCATCGGAAAAAATTAGTTAGCATCATTTTTCAGATTTTCCTATCCAGGTTGATATCGCAGATATGTATAACATTTTGCAACTTGCTACTTTAGTGATGACTAATATATCACGAACATAAACTTCCCGGAGTCTTCAAGAAATATTCAGTCATGGCTTTTCAGTTAGTGAAGTGAGTTTTCTAAGAATTAAACACGTTTTCAGGCACTGACAACTTCAACGATATGTTCCATTGTCAAGTATTTCAAAGACTAAAACAGTAGTTCCAAAATCGTTAATGTTTGATTATGAGAAAATGTGATCGATTGCTTGGTCGTTTGGTCACTGCTATCAATCTCTGATTATTTCAATTAATCGGAACACCACTAATGGTAACACAACAACGTACAGAGCTCCAGATAAGATTTGGCTCATGTGGGTACTGTACCCACTGTATTTTTTTGGAGTGGGTATTATGAATGTTGAGTGGGTATTTCATTTTCCGTTACCCACTGCTTTCAAATATGTGTATTTCAGTCATTTTACTCACCTTAAGTATTACGTCATTGAGTAAGTTTACTAAGCAGATATGTTCTGCCTTATGTCATACCTAATCAAAACCAACTTAAATATAATGGAAATGATTCCATAAAAAAATCATCCTATACTGACAGTACAACACTTGTCTTATACTAACAGTACAACTTGATAGCAATCGATGTCTTTTTCATCACGCAAGCAGCGATTTTTATAAATATATTCCGTACGCATTTGTTTTAAACTTTTTGCATATCTAACATTTTAAATGCGTAACTGGTGCACACAATTATTTTTCAATGCGTAATTGGAAATTTTCTATGCGTATTTTACCCAGATACGCAGCTTATCTGGGCCTCTGAACGTATGATATGGATTTACACCTTCTTTATTATTTACAGAAACGTTGTGTTGTAAACAATAAAGAAGTAGTACATCCATACCATCCATACCATCACGTTGCAATTATAAAACTATAAAATATATTTCAGTCCTAACATTTTGTTAACCTCTGGCAGATGGTTAAACTAATCTGGATTATAAGACAAAATGTTTTCATTTCTTATCATAATGAAGAATGAAATTGTATATCGAGCATAAAAGATTTCATCTTTGTTGATCAATCTATACTTTTACTATCAATGTGGCATGCAGGTGGCGCAGCAGAGGTCCGAACCAGTCAAGAATTCTGGGATATCATCCAGGTACTCATGGGAGAAAAACAATAACAAAAGCAACAACGGAAATAGTTCTGGATCAGTGCCCCTTTAAGATTGTGCAAGCCAAATTTTGCATATTCTTGTAAAAACACAAGCTTCTCTTACATGAATGCGACAACTGTTTTACTTCTTTATCAATATACTTGATAAACCTGCTTCAAGCTGTGACAAATTAACACTTTCAACACAACAGTTTAAATGATTAAATACTTCCCCCGTGAGCTCTTTACTCACGTGAAACTAATATTTGAATGACCAGATAACTATCACACATAATTTTCACATGTTCAACACATTTTATTATCATTTAATGGTGGACTTCGTAATATTCCACCTGTAATGGATAGAGACAATAAAAATAAATAGCCTGGACCAGACAAACCAGTGATTGACATCATGAGCATCAGCCCATGCCAGTGGGGTACCATTACATGCAAACAGCCAGTCGGCAAACCTTACCACACATTGACTAAGAATATACTTAAGAATATTTCGCTCATATGACGATGTGCATGTATGTGTATGTTAGTGTTGGGAATTGGTTAAAATCTCATAATTGATGATTGGCTCATTACTACCGATCAATCATCGAAAATAATTGGTTAGCATCATTTATGAAATTTGTTAATGCACATAAAAATAAGGTAAAAAACAAGTAGTTCTTTTGTTTTTTTGGGCAAAATTTCACATCTTTAATGGATGACTAGTATGTTAGTAGCATAAATTTCTTGGAATCTTTAACATAAATTCAATCATGACTTGAAACTAGCTTGTAGTGCTAACGAAATGTAACAGACAAAACCAATCATGTGAAAAATCACCTGTGTTCCAGAATTGGTTGTGTTCGATTATGAGAAATTGTGATCGATTGCTTGGTCGTTTAGTCACTATGACCAATCTTCGATTATTTCAATTAATCGGACCACCACTAGTGTATGTGCGACTGCTTGTACTAGCCCAGGCTTAAGCTGGTTTTATAGTGCTAGCCCACTGAGATACCATGCCGCAGTGAAGCATGAATACCCCACTCAGACACATAATACTGACTCCAAGCCGACCAGCTCTCATTGTACCCATTAATGCCGAGCGCCAGGCAGGGATCAACAAGTACCATATTTTATATATCGAACCCGCCTCCTTCCGCACATTGACCCGGGATCCTCAAGAGGTGAATGAATGAACAAATATTGACACACACTACACCTGTAATTTGTCACCTATTCTATGCAAACCAATAATTACTTAAAAAGAACTCTTCACAACAGACAGATACAGATGGATATTACCTTCTACTTCTTCACAACAGACAGATACAGATGGATATTACCTTCTACTTCTTCACAACAGACAGATACAGATGGATATTACCTTCTAGTGTGTGGATGAGTTTTCCTGTCGTGATGTCAAAGATGTTGACAATACCGTCTAGAGCTCCTGAGGCTATGAATCTCCCATCAGGGCTCTGAAACATGCATGAAACTCATGAGTATTTCCCACGAAGACAGGTTTTAAATCATGGGCTGTATGTAAAGTATGTTCAGGACACTGTTCTGCTAGTAACCCAAGCCTAAACATGTCACCCCTCACCAGTGGTGTGAAATAGCTTCATTTCTTTCAGACATTCTTTGGCATTTGTGTTGAAGGTTATTTCTTCGATATTTATTGATAATCGTTTGATATTTAGTTTATGATTATTGACCTTTATGATCTATATAGATAGCCAGCCCTAATTATAGTACCCTGAGTTTTATCCAGGCTTCCAAACTGAGTGTCCTTGGTGGGCTAATTGGGAAAAAAGTCTTGATATTGTCCTAAGTTCCCCTGATAAGGTCTTATTTTCTGACGAATTGGGAAATTTCAACCTTGCACCCATGGTACTTAAACATGCAGTTGTGAGCGTGAGACAAGCAAAAGTGAGCTGAGGACATATTCTAACCATTGGACCATGGATACCTGTACCTTAACATGCAGTTGTGAGCGTGAGACAAGCAAAAGTGTGCTAAGGACATATTCTAACCATTGGACCATGGATACCTGCACTTACATATGCAGTTGTGAGAGTGAGACAAGCAAAAGTGAGCTGAGGACATATTCTAACCATTGGACCATGGATACCTGTACTTACATATGCAATGCTGAGTGTGAATTTGCACCTAGTGTCCAAGGACGTCTCCTTCCTGCCAGAGTCTACACCAAACAGGTTGATCTTGCCTGTGTGACTGCCGGATGCTATGAACCTGTTGTCTGGTGAGAGGGCCACAGTCCACGCATCAACTGTTGACAACAAGAAATGGATGTCCATTGGAAACTTCACATCTTCAGATGTCACATTTGAAACTACAATTAGTGACCGATTAATGCTTGATAACTGAAAAGAGGAGAAAATTTGTACATGAAGCATCTGACAAATCATGCTAATATTCACCCCCCTGCCCTGGTGTTGTAAAACCGTCTAGTGCTACATATTCACTCATCTAGCCCGACATTGACACCCTTGTTTAGTGCTACATATTCACCCATCTAGCCCGACATCGACACCCCTGTCTAGTGCTACATATTCACCCATCTAGCCCGACACCGACACCCTTGTCTAGTAGTGATACATATTCACCCATCTAGCCCGACATCGACACCCCTGTCTAGTGATACATATTCACCCATCTAGCCCGACATCGACACCCTTGTCTAGTGATACATATTCACCCATCTAGCCCGACATCGACACCCCTGTCTAGTGATACATATTCACCCATCTAGCCCGACATCGACACCCTTGTCTAGTGCTACATATTAACCGACCAGGCCCAGCATCGACACCCTTGTCTAGTGCTACATATTCACCCACCTGGCCTGGCATCGACACCCTTGTCTGGTGCTACATATTCACCAACCTGGCCCAGCATCTACACCCTTGTCTGGTGCTACATATTCACCCATCTAGCCAGACATCGAAACCCTTGTCTGGTGCTACATATTCACCCACCTGGCCCAGCATCGACACCCTTGTCTGGTGCTACATATTCACCCATCAGGCCCGACATTGACATCCTTGTCTAGTGCTACATATTCACCCACCCACCTGGCCCAGCATCCACATCCTTGTCTGGTGCTACATATTCACCCACCTGGCCAAACATCGACACCCTTGTCTAGTGCCAGATATTACCCGACCAGGCCCAGCATCGACACCCTTGTCTGGTGCTACATATTCACCCACCTGGCCTGGCATCGACACCCTTGTCTGGTGCTACATATTCACCCACCTGGCCTGGCATCGACACCCTTGTCTGGTGCTACATATTCACCCACCTGGTCTGGCATCGACACCCTTGTCTAGTGCTTCATATTCACCCACCTGGTCTGGCATCGACATCCTTGTCTGGTGCTACATATTCACCCACCTGGCCTGGCATCGATACCCTTGTCTAGTGCCACATATTCACCCACCTGGCCTGGCATCGACACCCCTTTATAGTGCTACATATTCACCCATCTGGCCCAGCATCGACACCCCTGTCTAGTGCTACATATTCACCCACCTGGCCCGCCATTGACACCCTTGTCTAGTGCCACATATTCACCCACCTGGCCTGGCATCGACACCCTTGTCTAGTGCTACATATTCACCAACCTGGCCTGGCATCGACACCCTTGTCAAGTGCCATATATTCACCCACCTGGCCTGGCATCGACATCCTTGTCTGGTGCTACATATTCACCCACCTGGCCCAGCATCGACACCCTTGTCTGGTGCTACATATTCACCCATCAGGCCCGACATTGACATCCTTGTCTAGTGCTACATATTCACCCACCTGGCCTGGCATCCACATCCTTGTCTGGTGCTACATATTCACCCACCTGGTCTGGCATCGACATCCTTGTCTGGTGCTACATATTCACCCACCTGGCCCGGCATCGACACCCTTGTCTGGTGCTACATATTCACCCACCTGGCCTGGCATCGATACCCTTGTCTAGTGCTACATATTCACCCACCTGGCCCGGCATTGTCTAGTGCTACATATTCACCCACCTGGCCCGGCATCGATACCCTTGTCTGGTGCTACATATTCACCCACCTGGCCCGGTCGATACCCTTGTCTAGTGCTACATATTCACCCACCTGGCCCGGCGTCGATACCCTTGTCTAGTGCTACATATTCATCCACCTGGCCTGGCATCGACACCCCTGTATAGTGCTACATATTCACCCACCTGGCCCGGCGTCGATACCCTTGTCTGGTACTACATATTCACCCACCTGGCCCGGCGTCGATACCCTTGTCTAGTGCTACATATTCACCCACCTGGCCTGGCATCGACACCCCTGTATAGTGATACATATTCACCCACCTGGCCCGGCGTCGATACCCTTGTCTAGTGCTACATATTCACCCACCTGGCCCGGCGTCGATACCCTTGTCTAGTGCTACATATTCATCCACCTGGCCCGGCGTCGATACCCTTGTCAAGTGCTACATATTCACCCACCTGGCCTGGCATCGACACCCCTGTATAGTGATACATATTCACCCACCTGGCCCGGCGTCGATACCCTTGGCAAGTTTCCCGACTCCAGGTCCCAAATCTTCATGTGGCCGTCAAGACTGCTGGAAGCTGCTACTAAGCACAGTTCAGGAACATTTTGTCAGGATAGTTAAGTTGCCTTTGACATATGGGGGCACTCAAAACATGGGTCCCTGATGTGGAGTTTAAAGTAAGGTGTTACATAAAGGATAAATGTAAAAGTTTTGCTGAATAGGGATTTTCTATGTAAAGTTTGACTTTCCAGCTATATGACGGTGGTCTGTAAATAATCAGATCTTGACCAGACAATCCAGGGATAAACACAGCAGGAACACTGATCTACGCAATTGGGATTGATAACATGTGTCAACCAAGTAAGTGAGTCTGACTACCCGATCCTCTTGGACACCTCTTACGACCCAAATCTTCATGGGTCAAGATCTTTTGGAGGAATCGGGCATTGAGGCAGAATATTAAGCCCTGAAAAACCTGATGTCCGTAACCATGGTAATTGAGGATACATGTGCCGCCTGGACTGATGTCGACAGACAGGACTCCAAGCTGATGCCCTTCTAAGGTGTGTCGCAGCTCCAGCTTCTCATCTGACCTGGAACATCCACATCGATCGAGTAAGTGAGTGAGTGAGTGAGAGAGAGAGAGAGAGAGGGAGAGAGAGAGAGATGGACAGTGATTTAAAACACTGGGAGCACTTTCGGGAAATAAAATTGCATATATATGTCTCAGCCATTTGATGATCGTCAGATAACAAAATCCAGTGATTTACATCATGAGCGTCATCTACTATCTAGGCAAATGAAATACAATGACATGCGTCAACAAAGTCCACTAGATCCCATAATTCACCTGACCAGCATGGGTTACTGCAGACCTTATGGATGGTTGACACTTACCACTTCCACACTTTGACAGTGTCATCCAGAGCACCTGTCACAATATTTTCGGTGCCGTCCCGCTCACTCCGCCCCCAGGCACAGCTCCATATGCTGTCTTCATGGGCTGCAAACAACCACAGTGTCAGGTACAGAAGCTCACCTTTATCATATAGCAATTGTGGGATGATGAAAACTTAGCACTTATGTTTACATGATAAAGTTCAAGACTACTGGAGATCAACTTTTGATGGAGAACCAATAAACTGATATCTGGTGCATTTCCGATAGATCTCAATAACTAATATAGCTGTTCTCAGAGGCTCATATGCTGTCTCAAGTCAACATGTTGCTAAAATCTCTTCCCTTTGGGGTTTTAGATTTGGGACATTATAAACCACAAAAATATGAATAAAAAGATAAAAAACTGACCATATTTAAAACTTTCATATTCTATCATGAGATTGGAGAATGCTTGATTCTGATTGGTTAAAACGACTTCCATTTTCCAACTGAAACCTTTTTCAAAATTCAAATGGACATATTTAATATTTTCATACTAAGTTATTGTCATGAAATACTGCACTCATGCACATTCAAGCTGTTTGACGGCAGACTGTACAAAAACTGAGTCTGGGCCATACAATCCAGTGACTGACATCACGTGCATTTATTCATGCAGTTGGTGTGGGATGATATATGTTAGGGCGAAAGTCTCTTATCATGTTTGGCTGATCCATTAAGTTGCATCTTATGACATACAATGGCATCGGGAAAAAGATGATACTATCCAGAATCCCCAGAGGTGAAAATTTCAAGATAAAACAGAACAAATCCTTTCCTGAAACGCTTCCTGAAAACACTCCATTGGACACATCTCAGCCTCAGCTATTAGTAGTGGTGTTCCCGATGATCGAAAATAATCGAAAGGCAGATTCAAAATAATTATCAATTGTTAAAAAAATATTTTCGATTAATCATAATTATGTTGTTTTAGTATAACATACTTGAATGAAGTAAACTAACCATTAAATCTGACGAATATTCAAGAACAAACATGCACTCAACAGCGTAAAGCAATGCACATTGTAAAATTTTAACTTCTATTGTTTAATTACAATTCCAGTATTTTTCTTGCATGCGTGCATTTCATTGCATGACAGTATTAAAGTACTGTCGGAAATGCTAGAAAAATGCTTTTTAGCCTTAATACTTTGATAAAGGTGATAAATGTGCTATGTTGTCAATATATCAACTCGCCTATAGTGTACCTAATTTTTATTTCAATCGATTTAACATTCCGATGCATTTAAAGGGCAGTTTACAGGAGAGAATATGGTACCAAAAAACTTAAGATTTTTTCAGTTCAACAACAGAAATCTTTTTATTTGCAGTCAATTGTTGCAAAGGTTTATAAGTTTTTTGTGCTTGAAAAAAGACAGAGGTAAACCTTTCATTAGTTTAGAAAGGGTTTATTACAGAACTTGTAGAGCTGTTGGTATGTGTTACCAACAAGTTTACAATATTGTACACAAATCAGACAAGACAGAGACCGTCTCAAAAGCAAAACCGGGACGTAAAACCATCCTTGACAACTTTGACAAGGGAGTACTTAGATGGGTGGTCTACAAACTTTATGGGAAGAAGAATATATATATTCTAAAGAAGCTACACCAGTGACCCTGTTAAATCTTTGGCCAATGTTCACAACTAGAATAAATTGACCGAATTACATCCATATTTTTGCAATGAAATATACTGTTGACATGCAAAACATTTATTAAAACCTTGCACATTATTTTCTACAATCAATCGATAAGATAACACAAGTGATAGGAATCTTTCCAATGTACAGTAATTCGTATGTTTATTTCAAAACAAACACACATACACAAATGATCCCTTATATAACCAATACGTATAGTATACTATACGTACACATATTCAACATTTTGAAGAAAACATCTATTGAGATGATCCCTTCCCCCGGGCGTGTGCTCAGGTGTCAATTTCACCTGTCGATACCGTGCATGCTGATGACGTAACACAGGCAGTTAATGTTTGTATCAAATAACGTCCCACTACCCGTTATTTTTCTAAGTTTTTGGTATTTTCATCAGTAAAAACACATTTTAGGGCATGTCTCAAAATTTATTCCCTCGGTCTACATTAGGTAGATGTTTCTTAAAGTGATATTTGTTATTTATGTAACTGTAATACATCTGAATTTTAAATATAAGCCAAAAAGCATTTTTCTAGCATTTACGACGGTACTTTAGTTATAAAAACCATTAATTAGAAAAAAACGGGAAAAACTTAAAATTGGTGATTACAATTTACATTAAAAATGTATATATTTCGATTATAATCGATAATCATTCACCACAAGTCCTCCAATAATCGAAAGTGGATTTGGTTTCCGATTCCCAACACTAGCTATTAGCACCTGGACATTTGTCAAGCATCAGAAGATGTAGGAAGCTGTACCCATGTGTGAAATCGAACCTGTATCTTCGGCATGACAAGCGAACGCTTTAACCACTAGGCTAACCCACAGCATCAGAGTGTTTGAGAGTTATCTACCTTTGTGTATCTGCCTTGGAACTGACTCCATTTTTCAAGAAGTTTCTAGATAGCTGGCTGTACTAATGAACACCAGATATAACTGAACACTCGATGATCAATCAGTACAATAGAAACTGAAGGATGTACACATGGATGTACACTAGGATGTATTCACATTTTCCAACACAGATCTGATGACAAAATAATAGTATATATATGACATACCTTGTTCTTGTTTGAATATGATTGAGTACTGAAAAAGAAATGAGAAAAGTGAGTTACATATGTATTCTTGAAAACATTTGGTTTTCCTTTCACATTCAAAACGAATACAAGTGTTTGCCACTGATATGGCAATGTCCCCCGCCGCTAAAGAATGGAATATCCATATTTACTACTGTTAGTGTTTAGTAATATTTAGTGTTTTTTCATACACTGTCATTTATTTTTCTTGCGTATTTCAACTTTTCTACAGCGTATTATACGCAAATACGCAGCTTATCTGGAGCTCTGGACAAAACTACTATATTGTATTTGTGAATAATTATTCGTATTAATTACCCAATATTCGTGACACATATCATATTCGCCACATAGTGTATTCGTTGCAGCCCTAAATTGGGTAGTGAACAATAATTATTTCTCAGTGCTGGAAATATGTAAGGAAAACATCACAATGTTCATGATACTGCAGTCACTACAATGTTCATGATACTGCAGTCACTACAATGTTCATGATACTGCAGTCACTACAATAACTGTGGAATTAACTTTTAATATAGATATGTGGAGCTGCATCATTACATCAACATTAGTTGTCAATGATTCTGTGACACCATTTCGACAATAGCCCATCGTAAGCAATGGTTTGCAACATTGTGGTCTGCCTGCCTATATTGGCCCAACGTTGACCAACGTTGATGATACTGACACAGGGATTTGAAACGTTAATTAGTGGCATCAAGTTAAGAACCTATCACCAAAATTCAGCAGACATATTCTGTTCTGTATTCTGATTTTGGTAGTAACATTTCTTTATACTGAAAAGCATTATTTTAAAATATACAAGCGAGGCCAGTAATTCTGCACGTCCGGTAATTCTGCGTAGCTGCAAAAGCGTACTTCCGTATCGAAGGTAAACATCGCCTGCAACCACATTTACGCTTGATATCAGGACATTTCTACAAGGGACTGGCTTTTAATCACTAAAGGTAAGCAAATAACACTGTACCAGTAATTGACAGATAAATTGACAGTTTTATGAAAATTTGTTTTCTTCAGACTTTTAAAACTTTTTCTTCATTATTCATAATTGGATTTAATATGAAACACTCTTCCTTACATTGATCAGTGTTCCCAGTGGTTTTGAAAATTACTGGCGGCTTATGCCGACGGGGTCTGAAAATTCCGGCTGAACTAGTTTTTATCCGGAGAGACAAAGTAATCAGTATTCATAACAATATACTGTTAATAAATGTGTTGAAAAGTCTGCTGTGTGTTGCTTGCTTTTCGAGAATGTTCATTAGACCTACATTACAATTATTGATTCGATGCCATGCTGACACAATCAGAAAAAGAAAGCGGTCCAACTAAATTCGATAAATGTGTTCAGAATGTCATTCGCTATCTAAATGCCTGTGAAATGTGCAAATAATTAGTTTTTATATACCTGTGGTGAACTTCAATCTGCATTTCACGAGTTACTTGGCAAGCTTTGTTACACAATACAAAGGCTCGTATTGTGAGCGCAGGTGACATGTAACCTTGGCTCTGATTGGATGAAAAGGGAACTCCATGTGAAACACAGCTCTTGATTGGTCAGCCTGTCAGCGGTACAACTAATTGATTTGAAGGCATGTGACAAGTCAGGACCTGCATTTAACAACATAATCGACGGTGCTTTATGATGTTGAAAAATCTATAATTACAAAGTAAGGAATTGATGTTAATATATAGTAACGAGCAGAAAAAATGCGACAATTTTTTTTTTTCTGTACACTCAATCCTACTATAAAAAAAAGCCGAAATACATTGTTTCTAGCCGCCAGTAGCTTGCCTCGTTGGTATGGAATTATCTCCTTTGGGTTCAGGGATGGCTTGATCACATGACCTCGTTGCTAGCGGACGATACCGAAGCTTTGCCATGACGTTACAAAACAACAAAAATCGACTCTTGGCATATTATGAAGCAGGTATTACATCCATAACTAGACTTGTGAAACTGACAGGACTGCATCAGGCCTCTGTTTATCGAAATTTGAAGAAATTTGACGCAGGGTTAGGGACAGAGCGACAGGCTGGATCGAGACGTCGTGCTACTCTTGGGGCAAATGACAGACGACGTATCGCATGTCTCGTGGCGGCATACATAAAATGGTCTGCAAAACAGCTTGCTGTGAAGGCGTCAAGTCATGGAACCCCTAAGGTATCAGAATGGACAATCAGAAGATCTTTAAAGCAATCTGGATATGTCAAGCGCGAGGCGAAGAAAGTTCCATTGATGACAACAGCACATATGGAGAAAAGGCTCGAGTGGTGCAGGGAAATGCAGGGTACAGACTTTTCAAATTTGATTTTTACGGACGAATCAAAGTTTCAGTTTTATAGGATCACAAGAAAGAGGTGGTCAAGAGGTGGACGTAGCTGCAAAATGGTTCCGAAGTTCTCACCCAGTGTCATGGTTTGGGGTGGTATAGGCAAACTCGGGGTAACCCCGCTGCTAACTATTACAGGAAGGATGGATTCATGCAAGTACTGTCAACTTATACAAGAAGGCATAGTGGAATCCCATATAGGACAGAGTGGAATACCTGTCTTGACTTTTAACAGGACAATGCACCTGTACACAAGTCAAGACACCCGTTACTGGTTTGAAATGAGTCACGTGACCTAACAGAAATTTCCAGCGGCATCACCAAACCTGAACCCAATTGAAAATGTGTGGCAGATTATGAAAGACAAATGAGAAAAGTTGGAACCGAAGAGTGTCGTTGAGTCGTCTAATCTCATCAATCAAATATGGGTGGGCCTAACCCAGGACTACATAGACAATTTGATTGACAGCATGGGACGCCGTATTCAGCAGTGCATCGAGAGAAACGGTGGACTAACAGACTATTGACTTGGATAAATGTAAACTTCAGTATCCAGAGTGGATGTATGAAAAATATAACTGAATTTATAAGTAAATATATGTTGAAACTACGTCTGTGAAAAGTCGCATTATTTCTGCTCGTTACTGTATGTAGTTTACTTATAAAATGAATTTGAAACATGGTAAATTCAAATACTCCTAACCTCGAATGGCGATGATGCAATCATATGGTATTGTATCTGTCAAAACCCTTTCAACAGTAGTTTACTGGTTTGTATTATGTGTATTTATAGACAGATATTACAATACTCACTCACTGCATGGTTCAAAGAATCATGAAAATACAAAGGCTTGTGTAGCCTAGATATGTACATGGATGTATATATGAAGACAAGTAATTGCAGCTGCAGGTGGATTATGTATAGTGGAAACGTAAGGAAAGTATTTCAGAGAGCCGCAATTAGTTTGATTAAAATGTCACAGCAACTGTTTGTATCTATCTTGTTCATCATGATGCAAGGAAAAACAAACAAAATACAATTCTGGTAAATATTGAAACTCTTACACTTTATTAAAATTCAAACTGGGATGTTGCAAAAGAACTTTTGTCAGGAATTATTCTCATAAAGCCTGTACTCAAAAGTATGCCATTAGGTATCATACTGTCAGTAGTCAGTACTATTAGTATTTTAAATGTAAAACTAATTGTTACATGATATCGAGTCCAGATGTAAAGTCTCTTTGTCTGTTGTGTTTCACATTTAACTATCAGAGTTACATGATACAAAACTATCAACGATAAACAGGAATCATAATGCTGATCGCGCTTCATGTGAATACTGGCGATCATGTCATGACAGTCACATTCATGACAGTCCCATTCTGTGTCGCTGAGAACTTGGGACAAATCTCGCAGACACTCATAACGAACAGCTGAATACTGACAGAGTTTGTAGATTTCATTGGCCCTAATACGCTTCCATACTTCGGAACTACAGCTGGTTATTATGCGCATCAGTTGCTGCGCAGAATTACCGGACAGTAAGCGAAGTCGTCAGAACGCCGGTATGACATAATGCAACGTTAGAATCTAATAGTCTAGGTAAATATGATGCATACCAGCATGTTTAGTCATGTAAACCACCAAAAATAAGAGACGTTAGTTGCCGTGTTGCGATCGATGTGCTTAGGTGCGCTGGATTACCGGACGGCATTGTACAATTTGTAGTTCCGTGCCGACAACGTTAGCAATAACAGGTAGATATTTGTTATCCCCAAAAGTTCCTGTCAACGCCATCACGTCACGACAACAATGAGAGCCAGTTGCTTCTGCAACAGTAGTAACACGTGATCAACCAAAAAGAGTGGCGCATACAACAGATGTCCTCAAATATTATATCCACAGTATCTCAGGAAGAAATACACGGATCTACTAGTTGAAACTGAAAGCACCCCTCTAACGATAGGCCTAGCCAGTTGTGCTTTAAGTTTAACGAGTAGAGCCTAAGGCAAGAACTAATAATGCAGCAAGTTGGACGATGACAATCATAAAATATCCTGAACAACTAAAATGAGACAATCAGGAAAATTCTCACCATACTCATCTTGAAGTTTTAAAGTAAATCCTGCACACCTAGCGTTGTTGTCACTGTCGCGTTGGAAAGCACCTGTCCGGCGCGGAATAACTGTAAATTTTGACAAATGAAAATGCGGATTCAGCTTGTATTTAAAAGGGTCATCTTCTGCATAAAATAGATAACACTCTGTATTGTTCGGATAAATACACCAACATTATAATGAAATTGTCGAACATGTGTACAGAATTCAGTGGTAATCAATTTGTACTGAATATATTTTCGTTTCTTTTTGCCGATCAATGGTTTATGATATCTGTACAACTGATTCCCAACAAACGAGATTTAAAATAATTTAGTGTTTATTATTCATTGTGTCAAAGGATTTTTGTTATTACTGCATACATGGTTGTATTTTACCTCACTAGTCACGAAGGTAATCAAGTTGGGAAAAAATAGTCATATCCCATCATCACCAGTAATACAAAATGGCGTCCTTGGATGTCAACAAATAACAACGCGTCGTGATGCAGTTGGTTTGAAGCAAGGATTGTGTGTATTCGTGGAACGAAAAGGTTTTGATTTTGAGCACACTTAGTGAATCTGTATAGAACCGTTTGACCCGATAGTTTGGTTGTCAAATGAATATGTCACTGTGACATAGTGTCGGTAGTGAACAGCTGGAGAGATCCGGAATGTGTCGGAGCATTGCTAAATCTAGCTAATTGTAATTTTGCTTTATCTCTGCGTACGCTGTCTTTTATACTGTCAACCAACACATGCTACGGGGCTTGAGATCTTCGATTAGAAAGGATCTTTTGACATGGAAATCAAAGACAGCCATGTAGAAGTTCAAACTTGCCTTATTTATCAACATGTAGTGAAAACTCGTTCACCTACGGCGGAACACCTATGGAGTTAGCTATGGCTCGCACTCTGCGGTAATATAGCCCTAACCTAAGGATTTATGTAGACCCCAGATAAGGCGTTGTGTACTCACAGAATGGCTGGCATAGACTCGCTGTTTTTCCGGCTGTTCCTATCACCTCCCCGACACCGGTCATTACCACTATCTCTAGCAAGGGTGACCGGTGATCACCATATTCCTCCCTGTTTTAAAAGGCCCCCCTCTACAGGAAGTACACCCTCCACAGGAAGTACACCATGCCGTCCTCAGCCAAGGGGTCTTCTCGTAACTGTCTCCCGAGGGGTATCCTTTCTGTGCGGCACACCAAGGGGTCCTCCCCTCAGTCACACTGATTCCGCAAGCACCTAGCTTCCGGCTTTCTGGTGTGGATTCCACCGTATCCTCGGTGGGACCAATCGTCCATAACATATAGGGTTCGGGTCCCACTCGTACCAACAAGTAAGACCCGCAGTCTTTTACAGTCTCTAGGAAAGTCCCACTCCGCTGCGGAGTGACACTAATGACCTGCCAAAGGCCATCCAACCCCACCTAGCCATTAGGTGGGGCCAACTGGCTGCTACTGGCGCACACAGACACCACCCTGTCTTGGGTGGAGCCCAGAAAACATTAGGCATTACACGAGCCTCACCCTACCATTGGATGAGACCCACGGCGTCCCCCAGAATGAACAGCCGAGCGTTGACGTTTGTGGTCAAGAGAAGTCCCTCTTTCTTGCTACCACTTGCGCCACATAGCACAGCAACACTGGAGTTCAGGGTGCAACCTTCTGGTCCAGTGTCGGGACAGTCTGTCCCCATCAGCACCCTATCCTCTGGCACCGCCCTTAACCACACCATCTGGCCCTGGGGAAATTCCACCACCCGGGAGGTGAAACTGAAACAAGATTGTGGGAACCCCTCCAACCATTCCTGGTCCGTCCCCTCCTCTCTGGTGGAGTTGGGGACTACCAAGGGTTTATCTTGGGGAAGGCATTCCTTCAACACCCGGATGACCCGGGTGTAGGATGATCCGGCCAGCTCATCCCCCTCAGGCCCACGAACCCATACCACTACCGGGCACCCAGCCGGGATGTTCGGTGCCAGCTCCCTCAACACTTCTTCCTGTCCTCTCCACTCGTTGGCCTCTGCGGTGTCGTCCAGCCCCACCACGCAGAGGACGTCCCGCCAAAGACGTAGCGGCAGGCGGAACGCCCTGTCAACCAGATTGGCGTCTACTCTGAGGTGCAATCCCGCAACTGTCCTACACTTGGGATCAGTGTGAATCTTCTCCGGGTAGGATTTGGGGTCACTCTGCGCTTCAAGAGAATGCCCCTGATCTTCTGTCTGATTCTTGCTCATCCCCCCGGGGTCCCACCTGGTAGGGATCTCTCCCAAGTAGCTGATATCTTCCACCCCTGTTACCCCCCTGACTGTCCAAGGTCAGACAGCTAATGGAAGGATGTACTCTACGTCCTTGTGGAACTGGTCCCGTCGTTGGCGAGCATTTTGACAGCCCCGGCATGGGAGCTTGTGTAACTCAACCAACCTCTGGCAGCTGTCACAGTCTGCTTCATCGGCCAGGTCTTTGGTCCCTGGACGATATTCAACCCTCATGTCATATGGGCTCAGTGTCTCAGGCCAGCAGGCCAGCTGTCTGTCAGACGATTCGAAATTAAGCGACCACCTCCAACTGTTGTGGTCCATTCGCATCAGAAAATAATGCCCCAACAGGTAGTGGCAATACTCTCTTGGAAGGTGAACATCCACCAGCATCTTCTTGTGAGTTTGGCCATACCCCTGCTGCTCTGGGGTTAATGAGCAACGACCACAGCTGGCCCCTCTCTCTTGCCCTAATGGTAGCTCAATCCTGACAGCTAGGCCAGAGCCGTCTGTGTCCAAAATACACATGTCCATCTCGTTGGGCATGTCTAGCAATGGCAGTTTCCGTAGGACAACCTCCCCTACCTTCGCAATGGAAGAGGCCCTATAGATAACGCTGTTGGTCTCCCCACCCTGTCTGTCTTCAACTGCATTGGAAACGTGCTGACCCTTGTGTACCTTCACTAAGGGGTCAGCCGGGTTGATCAAATACGCCCAGGCAGAGCATTGCCCTTGATGTAGGTTCCCCAAGCTTAATGCACACCGCCTGGTTTCTGAAACAGGCTCCACCGGGGATTGGTTCAACTCTTGACTGTCAAGGCATGGTAGTCTGGTAGCTGTGTGCGGTGCACACGACACTGCCCTTGGAATGGCCCCTTGGCACACAACAGACTCTCTGGTCCTGAACGTTACCGGGATCTCACACCCGCCAATGGTAACTGTCCATTGTTGCATATCAATGTTTGTGCAGTGCCTGTTGGCTAAGTGAAGTCCCCGGATGAGCTGATTGCTGATTTGTGCCACCAGCACCTCCTGCCGGTACGTCTCTCCATCCATTTGGAGGCTTGCCTTACCTGTTATCGAAGCCCCCATCTCCAAAACGGGAGATTGACCACCCTCCCTGGTGTGACCGTCGGGTATCCCCAGCGGCAAACATTTAACGTTCAGACCTGTGTTGCTGAGGAGAACACCATCTGCATCCTCCTTACCACAGCTCACTAGGGCGCCATCTGGTGGCCAGGGGGGTAGACCCCCTTCTGCTATCATGCTTAAGCCCCCTGTTCTCGCTTTGATATTCTCTCCGCAACCTCTCACAACCTCATCAGTTGTTGCTGAGGTGTCTCTGTCAGCAGTCTTTCTTTCTCCATCGTTCTCCTTCCAGTCCGCAACAATCTCATTCATCTGAGTGTCATCAAGACTCACCTCAAAAGAATCATCTGTTTGGTCGAACAGAGTGACCGGATGCTTAGGAATGTTCCCTTTTTCTGTTGCTGTGTTTGCTGATACAGCTACTTTAGGTGAAGATGATCGAGTAGCATTCCCAGCAGGAACTCCCTGTGTCGCTGCTGCAGAACGCGTTGATTTGTCTGCCGGAGCAACAGTCTTGATATTTGCTGGTGTAGTAGGTGTAGCAAGGGCAGGAACCAAGGGTACTTCGGGGACAGTCAAACCCTCCCTCACTCCTTCATAATCTACAACATCCCCCTCATCCAAGTCTACTGAACCATCATCATCCCCGAGGTCCAGGACTGCATCATCCTGCGTGTGTTCACTCTCATCAATCATTGTTTCCACACCTTCACTCTCAATGAGGACTTTGTACTGAAACAGTGCATTAACCAGTCTCTGCTTCCGCCATTCAGCGAGTTCCAGAAGTCTCTGGTAACAATAGTCAATATTATTCAATCGACTCCTGACCAAAGGACATTCACAGTACTCCTCTCCCAGACCGATGGCCTGCTTATGCAGGTTCACAATAACATTCTGATAGCTTTTGAGCTCCTCAGTCACCTCCTCATGTTTCTGGAGAAGCGATAGAACACTGGCCTCATCCTTGCCAACGTCTTCCATGGACCCTAGTTGTAAAGTGTCCTTCATCCAAGTGTCAACCTTGCCAGAATCAGCAACGAACTGGTGGAAATCCATGGCAACAAACAGTCGCTTTCTTCGTTCATCAGCGAGGTCCACCAGGCTGCGCCACTGCTGTCTGACCTCATTGATGTGTTGCTGAATCTTGTCAGCACAGAAATTGCCTGCAGCAACGAGAATGTCTCCCACTTGTAGTACTGACTGGAGATGGCTGTGACGGGCATTCATCTCAACCTCCATCGTGTCATGCTTGTTAAGCAGCAGGCGAGTACTGGTGGGGTTAAGTCCAAAGTCAAGTGATGACATAAGTTGTTTCTTATCCCTGATCCATCCTTCCTCATCTTTCATGTTCCTGTAGAGCTGCCGCTGCTTTACATCCTCTTCCACACGAGATCGTCTCTGCTCAACAAGTTTTTCAGTTCATCATGCCGATTCCAAAATAAGCATTAAGTTTTCGACCACATCAGGGTCACAGAAGTCCCACAAGTAAGTCTTCAGTAAAGCGGGAGGCTGAACTGTTCACAGTTTCCACCTTCTCTGCCACTACATGGATGTCTGCTTCCAATAGGCGTTGCTGCTGCACGAGATCCTCCACCTCCATCAGGTGCCAACCATCACCCTCAGATGTAAGCCAGGCTGTGGTCCCTTCCATCCAGTCCAAGTTGCACAGCATCTCCTGGAAGATCTTGTGCAGGCTCGTGTCAACTCCAAATTCCTGTGACGAGTGTGAAGAAGCTCTAGCAGGTAATTCCATAGTCTCAGCTCTTCATCAGTGTCAATGTCATAGTAGTCCTCTAGTTCCATTTCTGATATTGCAGCAGTCACTGCCTGTAAACGCTCCTCATTGGCATAGACATCGGTCATACATGGTTCATGGTCAAATCTAGCAACAAGTTGCTCCAGTTCCTTTATTCTGATCCACTCCTCCCTCACTGCATGCACAGACGGTAACTCGGAAGCGGACCTCCTGGCAGTTCTCTCATCCAGCATCTTACTCATAGGGTCATATCCTTCATTGCATTCCCCAGGTTTTGTTTTCCTGCACACAGGGGCTTCATGATGCAATCCCGCCGCTTGTTCTGGTGTGGCCGGCTCCGGCTTTACGCCCTGGAACCAGCCCTCCATCCCTCCGCCACCTTGCTCCCATCTTACAATAGGGTTTGGTCCACTGTGTACGTCCGTCCAGGAGACTGGGGATCCGAAAGGCATACCCCTGGGATAGGGACCATACGGACTGAACCCATACGGCGATGTCAGTGGATGTCCTTGGCTATCTAGCCGGTGAATTGCTCTCTCCACTGCCTCAGCGTTATCCTTCACTGCTGCAGAGGTGTTTTTACACAATTCTACACTGTTCATGGACATTTCGCTCACCGTCCTCATCATGAAATCTGCGTTCCTTTTGTTCAAGTCCTCCATTGACCGCATCATTCTGTCCATCATGTTTACCATTCTGGTATCCCGTGAACCAAAACCGTGTGCTCCACGTGCCGATTCCCATCCTGAGCTCTGTTGGGTATTACTCTCATTGGCCTGCATCTGTATATCGTCACTGTCCTGCGCCTCGGCAAGTAACAGCCTTCTGAACCTGTGGTACCCTTTGACTCTATGTTATCTTCCAAACTATCCTGTTTGATGGGTTGGATACGGTTCTTCAACTTCCCACTTGGGGTGTAATCAAATGTTGACACTAAATCTGCATCATGATTAAATTCTTCCAAGTCCGGTATGTCCACAGCGGTAATATTAAACCCTGTTTTCCTCATTGTCACCAATGATTTCACTTGACTTGGGGAAAGTCCTCTCTCCTTCAAATCATTCGCGGTTGAAAGATTTACATAAATGGGTTGTTGAGCCATAGTGTATAGCCTATAAAGTCCAGTTTCTAGCACTCACGCTTTAATATTTCCGTGAATAGTCCTTCCGTGAATAATCTTTCCGTGAATAGTCCTTCCCCATAAAACACAATATGAGTGTCCGAGCTCCCGTCAATGGAATTCACAAAAATTAGTGTTTTACGGCTATCCGCTGTTCGTTTGCACTCCCGGAACAACACATCACATCCCTCGAATGTAAACACTGCCACTTCCTTCTTGACATGCGCAGACAGTTCACAAGAGTAACACAGTGCATAACATCAATAAAGTCATACAACATCCAAAATTTGTCCAGCACACGATGAATGTTCAATAATCCGGGCCCCTGATAACTTTAGAAGCCTAACAAAATCTTAGAAAGTTAGATAGCACAGTATGCCAGCCAGGTTGGCTGGAGCACCAGTCGGGTGCGCCGACCCACGTGACCTGCACGTGAGCCGACCGAAGTTGAAAAAACTTATATTAATCTATTTTGTAGAAGATTTCCCCAAGCTAACCTTCCGAGAACGCCCCGGAATAACTTTAAAAATATCCTAAACAGCAGTACGCTGGCTGACACACAGTCCTACGACACATATGTCGCAGACTACGCTCTCTCCCCAATAGCGGGAAAACTGAAAACTGCGCTGCGATCTCCCGAGGTAGAAAAACGGAAATTCCCACCCAGGAACGGTGTTCGCGGCGTCACTGTAGTGAAAACTCGTTCACCTACGGCGGAACACCTATGGAGTTAGCTATGGCTCGCACTCTGCGGTAATATAGCCCTAACCTAAGGATTTATGTAGACCCCAGATAAGGCGTTGTGTACTCACAGAATGGCTGGCATAGACTCGCTGTTTTTCCGGCTGTTCCTATCACCTCCCGACACCGGTCATTACCACTATCTCTAGCAAGGGTGACCCGGTGATCACCATAAACATTTCAAATGGCCAGGGCGAACGGAGCATTCAGTTTAACAAGCAGTGTTAGCTTGAGAAATCATCATATTGAGCTTCTGCTAATGGGGCAGTTAGCTAAGTTACACTAAACTACAGATACCCTTTGTTTGATATACCTCACTGGTGCAACCAATAAAGCTAACAAAATATACATTTTTGTACGGAACATATTTACTTGGATTGAAATTGATATAAGTATGTACAAAACTACATGGGCCACATGTGTGTAGATGTTAGCGCATTACAACACACAATCTTCAACGAAAATTGGCATCTTAACCGAATGATTCCAGAAACCTCTTTACTTAAAAGACCCTGAAACAAAATCACCTTGGTATGAATGTATAAATTTAGTTAATCCGACTTTACACAAGTATTTTGTGGTACTGGTATTCCAAATTAACTTAGTGAAAACACAAAACATTTGAGTTTTCTAGAGACACTTCTGTTGAAAAATGTAATCTTTCCAAATCCCCTTCTGAAGGAAGTTCGTATGTGCATTGGTTTGCGCTGAGCTAAGTGGGTGATGGGATAGCCAAGTGGTTAAGGCGTTCACTTATCAAACCTAAGACATGAAGTCAGTGCATCCCAAAATAGGAATATAACTACAAAGAAAGTTACATATTTTCCTAGCCAGTTACATGCTTTATTTCTCTAAGGTGTCCTTTTGAGAATTTACTTCATGCTAAGTTGAATTACCAAAAAAATACCTTATTTCCCTTCCAGCTGAGAAGTGGGCAATATGTCTGATATAGAAGACATCTCCTTGGAAGCAGTGGCACCGGTTGTTCCAGTCGTGGAGATCGGACATGGCAGTGGCTACCGCTCACCCCGTGATCACTCAGACCAGGATTATGACTCAGAGTTTGAGTAAGTAACTTCATGGTGATGCAAATTACAATCAGATTCTGACATGTATCAGGATTGGTTAAAAAAGTAGTGTTCAGGGATATTATTTATGGTGTCTTTAGTTTTCGAACAGAGTATCATTTATGTCAGAAGAAAGTATTTTTTTCTTTTGACGTAATATGGCACCCTACAATTAAAGATATCATAACTACTAATATTATGACGTCAGTGTATTTCATATAGTTAGTGTCTGGACGATGAGATGAAAATATAATACAACAGTGACTGAGTGAGTTGGGTTTACACTGCTTTTAGCAATATTTCAGCAATATCACAACGGGGGGACACTAGAAATGGGCTTCACACATTCAACCCATTTGGTGAATCGAATCTGAGTGACGAGCGAACGCTTTAACCACAAGGCTACCACATTGCCCATTCACACAACAGCATGTCAGATGATGGCAGTCAGACCATGTCATAATCTGTTACCATCACTCAGACTTACATTGACCTCGTATCATGTACCGGTATTGATGTATTCACAAAATTGCTATTGTAGTATCAGCTAATGTTCATGAAAAGCTTCTTTGAGAGGCATTTTTGAAATTGTGAAGATGAAGGAAAACCAAGTTCTATGGATAGTCAGCTTCTTTTTTGCAATGAGTGTGATGTTTCAGTGTAGGTACTATAACCAGGGTATTTAGAGTTGAAAACATTATATAGATTTTATAAATATTTAAGGAAAATTTGAAGTTAAGTTCAGAAGGGTGAATGTACTGGGAAAGTGCATTGACCAAGCTAACTGAACTGTTATTGATTCACTTTTCTTGGGGGGAATAACAAATTCTCTGAATTGACATCAATGAGGGTGAAACGTTCAAACTGGTGTTTCTACACAAATTGGGTGGATGGACATTTGGGATACAGATGGTCAGTTTGGTCAGTTTGTCAATAAAGGGGCATGCATAGGATCTGAAATGATTTTGATTAAGTATGTTTTGGCATCTACCAGTCTGAGATATTAGTCGGATATGTCAACGTTGGGTTGATGTATGGCTTAAGGATAACTAGCAATGTCATTTTATCACTGGAAGAAATTGATGGTACCAAATAAAGTCTCCGAAAGGGACTAATGAAAGTAACTAATTATTAAGATTGGATATGAGGCATTTCTGTAGGAGGTAGGACATCATTTCGGGGGGGAGGAGCCCAGAAATTGTGAAGAGAACTAAAAACTAGCTGACTGAGAGAGAGCGGGAGAGACTGAGCCCTGCCGTTGACTTGAGAGGTTCTCTCTGCATATTGAGAGATTGGCTCAGATGAAATTGTAACTTTAGGAATTGGGAAAGAAACCAACAAGTTCTTCCAGGAGATGTGTGAATCTGTGTTACATGTAAACCAGGAAATCTAGGAAATATTTGAGGACCTTTGTGAAAGAATTCATGTTAAAATAAACCGGACTTGAACACCATACTGGACTTATCCTTGATTATCCATCTAGCTACATCATCCCCAGAATCAGAGTGGCTAGACAGATTGCCTAGGTAATAAGGGTACAACACCCCCGAAAACCTAAGGTAATAGTACTAACACCCTTATCAAGCAAGTGATAACAGTGTTCGTACCTGCACCGAAACGTCACACTCATTGCATTAAAGATATTGACTATCCATAGAAGTTGGTTTTCCTTCATTAAAAGCTAACAGACGTAATGAAACGTATTGTCAGTGTGGATGTTGTGACCTGTTCTTATTTCTATTATTTCAAAACACCAACAGGGATTCAGGAAGACATTTTATAAAAAAATATTAGCTTCTGTGGGAATTCAGATGTCTAACTGGCTGTTTCAGTCCGAGGTGGTCATTTTGATTTGAAACCTCTGATTTACCTTCCAGAACGCAGTATTTTCCAAATCCACCACAGAGTCACTGATAAGTTGAAAGAATGCATAAAATATTTATTTATGAGGATGTGAGATCCTGACCAATTTCCATAAGAGAAAAGTGCATGTGTTTATCTCAGTAACTGACATTATTACAATGCTAGTTTGTATGATACAGGTCTGATGAAGATGATGATACCCATTCACCACAATCTACGTCCAGACAGAGGCGGAGGATGAGGAATGTTAAAACTGTTAATGGCCGTGTTGCAGTTGACATGACTCCGCCTGATGACAAACTGAGAGATGCTCAGAACAGGGCCAAGAAATACTCTCGCTTGAAGAAGGTAGATGGATGTATGGTCAATGGATTGAAACAAAGATGTATTTTACAATGTTCGATTACCGGTAGTTAAAGTATGAATTGTATTGATATGTTTCAAGCTGATCATAACCAATGTTTAACTCTTTGTTTTTGCTGAATTTGGATTGAGTTAAATGAATCGCAGTGTAATTCGGCCAAAAGGTTTCACATTAACTATGAACTTCTCAAATTATTGTTTCAGTTTTCAAAATGATGTTACATGATTTATGTTGCATGATTCATGAACTGTACAAAATAACAAAATGTTAAGTACACAGTACCAAAAATCATAGTAATAAAGTATGTGTTTGGGGAACTCAAAATGACCTGATTCTGATCAAAGTGATGACTATGCATACTTCAGATAGTTAAGGCTGATCCCTCACAATGCCCATCTATGATAAAAGACTAATCCCTAGAAAATAGTCTTTCAATGACTGATCCCTCACTATGTCTATGAGTGATCAGTGACTGATATCCCTCATGATATCTGTCAGTGATCAATGACTGATCCTTCATGATATTTCACATTGTCAGTGATCAATGTCTGATCATTCATGATATGTCAGTGATCAATGACGGGTCCTTCATGATATCTGTCAGTGATCAATGACTGATCCTTCATGATATGTCAGTGATCAATGACTGATCCTTCATGATGTCAGTGATCAATGACTGATCCTTCATGATATGTCAGTGATCAATGACTGATCCTTCATGATATGTGTCAGTGATCAATGACTGATCTTTCATGATATGTCAGTGATCAATGACTGATCCTTCATGATATATGTCAGTGATCAATGACTGATCCTTCATGATATATGTCAGTGATCAATGACTGATCATTCATGATATGTCAGTGATCAATGACTGATCATTCATGATATGTCAGTGATCAATGACTCATCCTTCATTTGTCAGTGATCAATGACTGATCCTTCATGATATGTCAGTGATCAATGACTGATCATTCATGATATGTCAGTGATCAATGACTGGTCCTTCATGATATCTGTCAGTAATCAATGACTGATCCTTCGTGATATGTCAGTGATATGTCAGTGATCAATGACTGATCCTTCATGATATGTCAATGATCAATGACTGATCCTTTCATGATATCTGTCAGTGATCAATGAATGATCCTTTCATTATATCTTTCAGTGATCAATGACTGATCCCCACAATGTCCATGAGTGATCAATGACTGATCCCTCACAATGTCCATTCCCAATCAATTTGCTCACAATATCCATGTGAGATAAATGATTCACACACAGGTTCCTCACAATGTGCATGTGATATAAAGGACTGGTCCCTCACAATGTCCATCAGTGACTGGTCCCTCACAATGTGCATGTGATATAAAGGACTGGTCCCTCACAATGTCCATCAGTGACTGGTCCCTCACAATGTGCATGTGGTATAAAGGACTGGTCCCTCACAATGTCCATCAGTGACTGGTCCCTCACAATGTGCATGTGATATAAAGGACTGGTCCCTCACAATGTCCATCAGTGACTGGTCCCTCACAATGTGCATGTGGTATAAAGGACTGGTCCCTCACAATGTCCATCAGTGACTGGTCCCTCACAATGTGCATGTGGTATAAAGGACTGGTCCCTGGCAATGTCCATCAGTGACTGGTCCCTCACAATGTGCATGTGATATAAAGGACTGGTCCCTCACAATGTCCATCAGTGACTGGTCCCTCACAATGTGCATGTGATATAAAGGACTGGTCCCTCACAATGTCCATCAGTGACTGTTCCCTCATAATGTCTATCAGTGACTGGTCCCTCACAATGTACATGTGAGATAAATGACTGGTCCCTCATAATGTCCATCAGTGATCAATGACTGATCCCTCACAATGTTCATTCCCAATCAATTTGCTCACAATGTCTATGTGAGATAAATGACTGATCCTTCATAATGTGCACGTGAGATAAGTGACTGGTCCCTCACAATGTGCATGTGAGATAAATGACTGATCTTTCCCAGTGTCCCATCAGTGATCAGTGACTTGTCGCTCACGATGTGCATCTCTGTATTCAGGCAGACAAAGCTATCAAGGAGTACGTCACCTGCACAGCCCTAGCTCGTATTGTATACGGCAACAACCACTGGAAGTTTGCAGCCAGTCACGTTGACCTAGCAGAAGCATATCTGGACTTGAAAGGTAGGTCATTCCTGCAGTGTGCATATGTAACCTAACACAACATTTGGTTAGACAGAAATGACCAACCAGAACAAAAAGAAACAAACCAAATGGAGATATTATAATTTAATGCAATGAAGCAATTGTCAAACCAGCCAAATCAAGTACAATAAGAATCTATAAAGCAAATTAAACAACCCAAGCTAATTCATCAGAAAGTATCCTAAACTGTAACATATAGAAATGTGAGTATCTGTCTCTCTGTGTCAGGCTATGCTGTACAGGCTGAGTTCCACTCCGACAGTGCCAAGGACATCATGCTGCACGGCGTCCACACCTCCAGCTCCCACAAAGAGAAGGCCAACATCTACCACGTCCTCATCCGCGTCTACTACATCTTGGGCAAGGCTCTCACCATCCTCAAAAAATATCCTTTAACAGCAATCAGCCCAACGAGTGTCGTTGATCTGTATAATATCTACTGATATCTTCATTCTGTTTTGCTGGTGTGGTTGAAATTATTAAATCAGAAATTGACTTTCTGTTAATGGTTGTACTGACATTGAAAGACTGACTGACTGAGTTTTGGCTTTACGCGCTTTTTAATATTCCAGCAACATCACGTCGGGGGACACCAGAAATGGGCTTCACACAATGTACCCATGTGGGGATTCGAACCCGGGTCTTCGGCGTGACGAACCAACGCTTTAACCACTAGGCTACCCCACCACCCCTACATTGAAAGAGGGTCGATGGGGTAGCCTAGTGGTTAAAGCGTTCGCTGGTCATGCCGTAGACCCGGGTTCAATTCCCCACATGGGTACAGTGTGTGATGCCCATTTCTGGTGTCCCCCACCATGATATTGCTAGAATATTGCTAAAAACAGCATAAAACTAAACTCACTCACAGTGAAAGAATGTAGCAGTTTTTATTTTGTCTGTGCAGTATGCAACTTTAGCCTGTGTCTGAAAGCTGTTGTCTTATAAAGTTATAGAAAGTCTTGTCACCTCAGAAATGTGAAAAACTTTGTTATGAATTAATATGAGCAGTTCTTGAAACATTGCTTTCACCGAAAAAGCTCGACTAACATGTAGCCCCTGAAATATTTTACAGATAAAAACAGTTTCTAAACTACGTTAATAAAATCTAATGAAAAGGAGCCAGGAGACATTCCTTATTTCCTGAAACTATGGCATCTACTCTTGCCAAACATTCTAGACACGCTGTTTATCTGTAAGCATGACAGAGTTACCGTCGGGGTGTGTGGTGAGCGAGCAATCTAAAGCACCAGGCTAGTGATCCAGCGAACTTAAGATGCTGGGATTGAGCCCACTTGTGACTGGGTGTGAAAACCTTGGAGTCAACTTTGTGTGTGTACAGTACACAACCCTATGCACTCACAAGAACCCATGAATCCAGCGATAAATGACCAGATGGTGGCGCCTTTGAGCAGTTGAGATGAGCTGGATATTGGCGCTACACAAATATCATATAGTGATAATAATAATAATAATAATAGTCATTTGTGAAGTTTTCTTTTCAACACCGCTTCGTTAAAGCTTCCTTAGTTCCAACTGTACTTTCCATCATAAACCATGCCCTCTAATGAAAGGCCAATGTCCCTAGTTCTGTAGCTTGTACTCTACTGTAAGTACATTTTAAGGCTTATGTTTGCTTCGTGCAATTCAGTATGATGTATCTTCATCAGTCATGAAGTGGCAGTTAGTTTTCATTTAACATATACAGTGATGCTCTCTACGATTCCCACTCCAATTCTACCCTGATTTCAGAAAATACTCAACCTGTGAAGGTCCGGGTTAGAATTTGTCTTCAGCAACCCATGCTTGTCATAAGAGGCGACCGACAGGATCAGGTGGTCAGGTTTGCTGATTTGGTGGACACATGTCCTTGCAATCCAGTTGTATAGATCGATGCTCATGCTGTTGATCACTGAATTGTCTGGTCCAGACTTGATTATTTACAGCTGGAATATTGCTGAGTGCAGCATTCAAATGTTAATAAGCAATTCTGACAGATTTTCAAATTCATTTGCCATGATGAATAATGTGGTTCTTTGAGCTGAGGTCCTGTAGTATTTGAATGTATGGATATATAGAGAATACTAAACGTTGTCCCGTGTAATACTATATTTATGAAACGAGTGAATGGTTTGGTATCTAACGAGGGAAAGCGAGTCAGATACCAATACCATTCACGAGTTTCATAAATATGATATTACACGGGACATTGTTTGGTATTTTATTTATTACACACCCAACAGTAGCAAAATAATATCGAGCAAAGTACTTCTTTCCTAAGAATTCAACGAGTGTGATGACTCTCAGCTTTCCGTGGAGTCAAGCAAGGTCTAATACTATTGTGACAGAGGTATTAGCATTGTGACGTCATAACTGTAAACCAGTTTTACGTCATACGTACGGCACCACATGGTGATATTACACAATGTGTAATAACATAGTAAAATTATTAAACAGTGACATCTTCAACGGGTGAGTAATAAACTGATATACTGAACAACACCACCCATATAATACGAAATATCCCTGTCAGACTGAAATGTACCCATGATATCTGAGCATCGTCGGTGCATTTTAGTGTGGTGCGTTTCTAATGTTGTTCAGTATATTTTTAACACCGAGGGTATGGTGAGGACTTGTGGTTTAAATCATTACACACTGAAACACTTCCAAAACTGTTGCCTTAACATCCCTACATACAACGAGGCAGAGCAGGCGCTGACGAAGGCAGACCGGATCTCCCAGGAGAGAAGTAAGCTGGACTGTGTGACTGATGACGAGTGTGATGAGATCGACATCAGGCTGTACCTCGCAATGGCCAGGTGAGTCCAGACAGCTGACCATGGGCTTATCATACACAGCTGACCATGGGTTTGTCATACACAGCTGACCATGGGCTTGTCGTACACAGCTGACCATGGGCTTGTCATACACAGCTGACCATGGGTTTGTCATACACAGCTGACCCCATGATGCCTTCTTTGAGAGGCGTTTAGAAGTTGGTGTGATGAACGATGGGGAGACTTCTATGGATATACAACTTCTCTATTATCCAGGGTTCCAGATAAGGGTCGTAACGGCGTTTGTATCGGATAACAAATATGTACGATATGGTAGGGATTAATTTAGAAAACGTAGGAGATACGCACCACATCAATGTTGTACAGTATTAGAATCGCTTACAGATGTATATTTCCAAAACATATCAATCTGATTTCAAGCAGTGTCTATCTTTGAATTTACGTGAAGAAACCGCGTACTGCATCGAATCATCTCGTTTAAATTTGATTGGTCAAAACTGCGCATGTGTATGTAAACATGGCGGCACAAAAACAAGTTTCTTTCAGAACCAAGACTGTGCCTCGATGACTTGTAAACAGTCAACTAATCAAATAGCTGTACGAATAATGAACAAATTACTACCAGTATCACTTGTTCATCTTGTTGTAGTCACACTCCAGTAAATTCCATTCAGTACTCTAAATGTACTCTTCAGTTTTTGCAGTACTCCTATATTGAAAAAATAAGGAGTACGTACTCCTGATGTTGAACAATTATCTGGAGCCCTAATTATCAATGTAATGGACATTTCGGTGTTGATGCTAACAAGTAAATGTTATCAAGTAAATGCTGTACAACACTCCTGGAAAGGCTAAGTCTGTACAGTAAGATGATTGATGTTTACACAATTAATAAGGTTGATATACAAAGTGTTAATTCTGCTTGTTTAACAATTATCTTCATAAATATTAGCATATTTGTACCAGTGCCACGCATATATCCATACCTAAGCATGCTCAAAGTGCACAAACTAGAGTCCGTTTGGCTCAAAAGCAGACCGATGAATTGCAGTCTAACTCGAAAACTAATAAACATAAAATACTCAATGAAACGCTGATCATAATCAAAACATCATACCAACTCTGTGAGTTTTTTTCAGAATTTTTGTCCTAAAAATAAAAAAGTTGTTTAACAATCTATCATTAAAATATTGACACAGTTCACTATTTGTTACGAGGGAGGAGTGCAGAGAAAGGGACAGCCAGGTGTTCGAGAACGGATGGAGACGGCACAGCACAGGTTAATGAATAAATAACTTTGTCTGTGAACGTGCTTCTCGAACACCTGGCTGTCCCTTTCTCTGCACTCCTCCCTCGTAACAAACAGTGAACTGTGTCAATATTTTAATGATAGTTTGTTAAGCAGCTTTATCATTTTTAGGACAAAAATTCTGCAAAAACCTCACAGAGTGGGTATGATGTTTTGATTATGATCAGCGTTTCATTGAGTATGTTATGTTTATTAGTTTTCGAGTTAGATTGCAATTCATCGGTCTGCTTTTGAGCCAAACGGACTGTACAATCTGATCATTATTGCCCCGGATAACCCAAGCTGCCTGTGAGGCACTGGAAAGCTAATAGTCACATGACTTCTGTACCCTTGTACCCTTTTTCTGCTGGGTGAACAGAGGCAATATGGAACAAACTCACTTGCCTAAGATGAGACAGGCCTAAGGGCGTTGTGGGGCAGGACTGAAGTCCTATAAACTCTTAGGATTCAAGCTGCCAAACAAGGAGTCTCCGTGCCCAATGTTGCTGAACTTCAACTGATTTGTGACTGAGGACCACATACATGTTTACCTCATTTGTTGTGCAATCGTCTATCTCACTCTGTACATCAACATTATGTACTGTGTAAGCATGAATCACGTTACTGTACAAACTTTACTAAAGTACAGTATCTGACCCTAGACTCACATAGCTGACTTTTAAATACTTTGTGTGTTACAGGTTGGCCAGTAAGCAGAAGAAGTATGCAGTAGCCAGTGCCCACTATGACAAGGTGTTGGAGCTGATGGAGATTCGGTACGGCAGGGACAGTCTCCTCCTCATCCCTGTCTACCACGACTACGGCAGAATATCCTTGCTTCCAGAATCACTGAATTGCAGTGTATTTATTTTATGCCACGTTAGCAGTAATGCGTGGGAATTTATTGTAGTACCACAGCGGGTTCTTAACTGACCATCCCAGCTAAATGTGTGCAATCAGGCAAAGTCAGTGTGACCAGTATCATTATCGTTCTGAAAAACAAGGTATATTTCACTGTAAACAACCGACAAAGCAGAGGGACTATTAACAAAGATACACATATCTAATAAAAATTTCGTCGCAGTCCTGTCAAAACATCGTATCTGACTTTCATATAGTTTTGAGATAATCGAAAATATTATAATCAGTCTGGACTGACAAACCAGTGGTAATTTGAGCAATGCCTCATATCAACCAGGGTGCTCTGTCAGAACTCTTGGAAGATTCAATTTAGGAGTACTGTCAACTTATTCTATCCAGTGTCCAAGAGGGCAGGAATATAAACTACAAGAGAAATTAATTTTGCATCTGGCTTCAACTCCACATGGGTGGGCTCAAAGTGCTGTATGCCTAGCACCCTGGTGTGTGGGTCAGTGTTCACTCGAATTTCTATCTCAACTCCTTGGGGAGAATACAACCAATGATGTAGGGTGTAGTTTTGTAATGACCATGTTCAAAATTGCCTCTGTTCACCCAGCAGAAAATGGGTACCCGGTGGGTAAGTCATGTGACTATCTACCTTCTAGCACCTCACAGACAGCTTGGGTTATCCAGGGTAATGATAATCAGATTGAGCGTGCCCCTCTGAGGTGTGGGAGGCGGTGGGGTAGCCTAGTGGTTAAAGCGTTAGCTCCATCGTCAATTAAGACCCGGTTCGATTCCCCACATGGGCACAATGTGTGAAGCCTTTATTTTTAGTTTATTTACCTAAAATTATAGACATCTATAGAGAGGTTTAGCTAATATCCTTCAACAATTATATATATATATTTGATAGATGTTTAATTCGATGTTTCTACTGTTTATTCGCAGCGGGGCCTTGCGTGTTGTTTCAGTGGATTACGTTTGATGAAAATTCTGTACTGTTGCACATTACGCTTTTTATTCTGCCATGCTGATCCGCATTTAATATGCCTAGCTGTACTGCGCCATGTTTCATTTTATTCAGGTTGCAGTTGCGGTACTAATTTGTCTCAATTCTGCTTTAATAAATAATTACTTTCGTTTGGTATGCAGGCAGCGAATGGAATGGCGTGTATGCAGAGTCTAGCCATGACTGATACACCTGAGACCCTGCATGAGTCTACTGCTGTTGGTGGAGCCCCCTCCCGTCGGGCCTGGTCACGCTAGAGTGGTGCTTGGGCGTGGATCGTAGTCCGCGCCTCAAGAAGCGTCCTGCTTCCCAGACATCCCCATCGTCGCAGCCCGAGCACTAGAGGGCTTCTACTGCATCTCAACGCGACCTCTGGGGAAATCAACAAAGTCTTACTTGAACTTTCTCGAAAGCGAGATTGTTCCGATCGCGATTTGACCCTGTATGATGATCAGCGATCATCAAGGTCACATGATCTGGGCTATCAAAAGAATGACCGATGTAGGCAACAGTGATGTAAAGCGCGCAGGATCAACATGCAGGCCTGATGTACCAACGCAACGCTGATATTCGATGATCTTCCTGAGGGTCCATTAAAATTTCGCCACCACTCAGCGCAGACTTACGCGACTCCCAGGGGCAGCGTCGACCTCTGAGGGGAAATCAACTGGCAGAAGTCTACCAGGACTTTTCTCAGCGAGAGATTGTTCAGCAGCTGAACTGGGCTCTCTCATGATGATCAGCCGATCATCATCCCCAACGTCACGCCGAAGAGAGCTGACCGGTGACAGCTTACAGTGACATCAGCAGAGATAAACCGCTTCACAGCCTGATTGTCTCTACACTGGCATCTGTGCGACTTCCCTGAGGGCCCGCCCGCTAACATGCGCAGAGAGGGTACCCCACCGCCAAATGCCGAAGACCGTCCCCAGATGAACTGTTGCGCGGCATCATCATGATCATGATGGAGGCCACTACAGACTGGAAGCAACCAGCCAGGGCAACGAGCGCCAGCGAAGGATTTCCAGCATGAAACTGACACCCCAGAGCACTCCGTCAGCGTAGCAGCCAGAAGCGAAGCCACCTTAGCGAAGGAGGTACCATGAACCACCTCGGCGAAGGACCAAGATCTTACAGCCCGCCCACGCGAAGGCCTTGTGGCGGGATGGATCATCACCTTCCCACCGGCTTCATCGCCAGGATCGCGGACTCCAGACCACCAGACCTCACGGAAGCCAGCCAGAAGGTAAAGTCGCCCGTTCCCAGGACCCGGACATGAGAGGAAGCTTAGCGAGGCCTTCAGCGAAGGAACACCTGAAACTACACAAAGGAAGCGGCGAAGCTATCAGCATTCTCCCTCCTGCGTACGAGGAAAGGTCAACCCATAGGCGCAGATCACCAAGGCGATCTCCTGCATGAGTCCGCAGCCCGATCTCTAAGTACACATCACCGCGTCGATGCGCCTCACAGGTCACCACGCAGTCTGCACAAAGTCTACCGAGTCCAGAGTCTCCCGATCACCCGTGCATAGATAATGAAACTTTACAGTCCACCGTCAGAAGAGCATCAACACTCTCATCAGCGATGCTGCAGGGATAGAAGGATGATGGGCATCATTGCCGTTTCTCCAGGCGGCTGAGATCACGATATTGGATGGTAAACTTACCCCTGGATCTCTCTTCGCGAGCTTCCAGGTAAGCGGCTTCAGGCGCCAAGACTGATAACCCTGATAGAAGAGAGAAGGCGATGCGAGGCATGCATCCACCTTACCTCAAGGTGGGACCCGATTGCTCGCAGTGCCACAGAATGTGGACACAGCCATGGCCATAAAGCCATAAAAGTTCAAAGCGCCAGGCGTATGTTCTGTAACCTTAATAGATCTAGAGAGCGATCAATGAGATTCTACATCTGCCAGTTTTAGGTGACCACGACCAGAAGATGATAGGATGATCTGCAGAAGCTCTACTTATACCAGAACCAGCAGAACCACACCCTGTATGAAGCTAGCGCATCATGCATATTGGTCCGGACTCTGAACGCCCGGCTGAAGAGTCAGGCCACGCGGCAGAAGAAGGCTAAGAGCCTCTCACCAGTTGGAGACGTGTGACGTCAGCGAATTATGGCAGCTTCACCGACCCACATCCTGTTGAACACAGAGGTGGATTCGCCGAAGCAGCGGCTCATATATATATATACTGATCGGGCTCCCGGCTCATACCCCATACATGGAAGTGATGGCTCCAAGTCTACTTCACACAGAAAATCTAAGAATGGATGCTTCCAGGCCGAAGTCTCCGATCCACCGAGGGAAATCTCCTCCAAGGTCTCCCATATACTAGCCACTTTCGTCATATACTAGCTTCTCCTCAGTCCGTTCAAGACGCCATAAGTTGTCACTATCAACTGTATGCCGCCCATGCGATCTATAAGCCCTACGAAGACAATTTGCACAGGCTATTTTACAACACAGAAGCGTCGGCTGTATTAATTGAAAGATCGCGGCGTTCATAGATCTTCTGCGGAATCCCAACGCTTTCACGGTAACCGGTTGCTAGAATATGCAATCCGGACTCTGACTCTGATTATCTACATGCGTGACCATTACATGAGATCTGCAGACATAATTCAATACTCGAGGGAATTGAACAGCAGCGCTTATTTTTATGAAATTATAACTCGCCGTAAATTCAGAAGTTTTCTGGAGAAGAAATATGTACAACAAGTTCAGCATTAAATTCTCTTTACTAATTATGGCGATACGTTTGTCATGTATACAGTCACTACAAGCTGACAACTTGCAGAGTTTATTGTACCTTTATATAAAGGGAGTCGATTCCTATTCAAGAGCTGAAGGATTACTTTCCACGACAGCCAGGAAAATAACCTGCAACATTAATATTACGGAAATGAGGGTATTTGGCGGGAGGTTTTAGCGTTTACCTTTTAACCCTCGAAACCGCGTGGTCACTTTCGGGCAGCCGGGAAGCTACGGTGAAGACCGGCGATTATGCTAATATCAACGGCTGGCAAGATTTTATACGGGAAGGGTTTTTCCTGCCACTGCGATGGTGAGCATCACAGCGGGTATTCTACAGAATCAAAATGCCGCTTAATTCCACAGATTTGGACAGCGATGGACAGCGACCTCACGCGCGGACGGTCTGATGTAGTTCACAGTTCAAGACTTTTACGTTACGAAAGGTGACGGCTTCAACATATATATCCAGTGAGCCAGAGCAAAGCTACTTTGGAGTCCAGTTAATCACTGAACCCTTCCATGCGGGTGGGCTGCTTTCTTCCAGGTTAGAGAACCTCCACTGTCCCAAGAGTTAGGGCCCGAGGAGCCACGGCCAGTCAGGCGATTTTTCGCATAAAGTTCTGGCGAGGACGAAGACTGCACCTGGTTATTGCACCTACGCTGGTCCGTAAGACTTCGCGAAAGTGAATTACCTAGACGGAAGCGGGATACAAGTGGATCACAAATCCACGGCTACGATCACTCCAGACTGCAAGCTGAATTTCATCCATCAAAATACTAACACAGCTAGATGGTTAGTGGAAACTTCTACGCCCAGCTTTCTGATTGGAGAATTAAAGCCGGAAGTTTCAAGCTCCAACTTAGGGATCTGACCCATAGATTGGCATCCCAACACCTCACAGAAGTGAGGTTTATAGAACTGCGCCTGGATGACATGCTTGGACTCCATGATGCGATGAGTTTCACATCCGCGATGGCCAGCAAAGAGCACTGTAGAATTTATCTCCACCCGAGACCAAGAACTAGGAGGGAAAAGTACGGCAGATTATTTCCATATCATCAACTGAAGATCCAGAATGAAGTCTCACGCATTACTATATACGTTTTTGGATCAGAACTGTCGCCCACTCGTGCATTGCATACAGGCGGATGGACCCAATCAGACTTACCTCCACTTGAGCTTTTTAATACTCATGATAATTCGGAGGCTAGCTTCTACAGAGTTGATCTACTGGAAATGATTATTTGAAGAATAAAGGGAGGATTTATTTCTGGAGATCCGATATGAGTGGTTTGCCAGCCATTATCTGAGAGATATATCACCACCGTAGGAACGATCTCAGGTATCACACAGAATTCGGTGATCAATGAATTACGCTCGCACAACGGTTGACAGTTCTCTCGGAGAAGGATAAAGTCAATCTTACAGATTTCTACTTATCTTATAGCATTTGCTAAATGCAAACTCCATGCTATATATAGAATTTGCTTAAGTTCCTTTTATCATCCACAGTACTATGATTAGTTACATCATACAACAATATATAAGTTAACAACTCTACAGAGTTGGATTTATTATATATTTACCTTAAGTTAATCCATATCTTAAAAGTAGTACTATGAGATTACATGATAAATTGCATTAGCTAACTGGAAGGCCTCCTACAGAGTGTTTTGGCTATTATATCGTGGCTTAAGTTAATTACCATCGCCCGGCATGAGTACTATACTCATGTGTAAAAATATATTCCAATATGGAAAGCTCCTACAGAGTTTTGCTATTATATATGGTAGCTTAAGCTTATTCGCCCATATCGCCAAGACTCAAGTACTATCAATTTCATATCCATATAAATTATATTAAAGCTAATATTAAACTCTCAAAGGGAGTTTTGCTATTACAACTAAAGGATTTCATCATATCGCCAAGCAATATGGGTTACTGGATTATAGCATGTATTAGCTAACAAACTCTCACGGGTTTTGCTGACCCTATCTGCAATGTGGCTTACAGTATTATTCGCCATATCTTAAAAGTAGCAAGTACTATGTTTTACCATCATAATAGGTATATTGGCTATCAAAAAGAGCTCTACGCGAGAGTTTTTACCAGCACTATTATATATTTTGGCTTAAGTTTCATCATATTTACTAGAAACTTAAATAGTTTACATTATAGCATGGCATTATTCCAGCTCGAAAACTCCCTCTGTGGGGTTTTTGCTGTATTACTCATGTCACAACTTAGAGTTTCCATTATATATCTTAAAGCTCAAATACCCATCATGTTTATACTTCCTCTATCCATAGTATGTTGAACTTACTACAATACAAGGTTTTTGCTGTACTCCCATCATATTTAGCTTAAGGTTTCCAGCCTTCGCCATCATCAGCAAGCTCAAAATACACTTCAGGAGTTTTATATCATATATAAGTATGCACAGCTAACAAGCTCTAAAGGGTTTTTGCTTTCAATTATATCGAATAGCTTAAGTTTCAATGTCCCATATCAGCCAAAGCGAGTATGGTTGGCATTAGCTCAAAGAAATCTTAGTAAGCTAAATAACAAACTCTCTTCTGAGGTTTTGCTGTCCTCATATAATATTACCAGGATTTAAATCATATCTGCGAGCTCAGTACTACTGTTTATAACATAAAGAAGTACCATTAGTTAATAAAGCTCTAAGGAGTTTGCACTGCACTATATACCATTTAGCAGAATCTTATCATATCGCCGGCTTAATTACTATCGGATTACATTATATAAATCTATTAAGCTAATAAAGCTCTACACAGAGTTTTGGGGAGACTCATTGTATATGTAGCTTAAGTTAATTAGAATCTATCAAGCACAGTACTTCCTACTCATCGATACCCTTGCAAAGAAATATTAAATTAATCTTTCTAGGACAAAGCTCTACAGGAGTTTTAGCTATTATATATCTTCAGCTAAAAGCTTATTCTCATTATCTATGAAGCTCAAGCATTCCGCCATCTATATCATATAAGTATATTAAACTAACAGAACTCCTAAAGAGTTTTCCCTCCATATCCATATCGTCTAAGCTTAAGGTTTAATCAGCCACCTTAAACAGTACTATGTTTATATGCTTAAAGTATGTTTAAAGCCTAACTGAAACTCTAAGGAGTTTATACTAGCATCAATGTGACTTCAAGTCTATTAGTCTTAAGCATTGTATTAAATGTTATATCCTATTTTTATCATAATAAGTACATTGCAAACCAAACCTTTACATGGCAGCCCTGACCAAGTTAAAGCAGCAGGAATTCCATCCAGGTTCAGTGCCTTTATGAGTTCCCATGGGGTTATTACAATCAAATCACGCAGTTCAAATCACTAATTATTCAAAATCAGAAGAGTATTGCATATATTCCACTCAGCGCGCCGTCATTCAGGTTCTACAAACCAAGAGGACATGGAGTCAGGATAGGGAAAATATGCTTAATTTTTAAGAGTAAAATTGATGTATTATCCCATACTTATCTCTGACTCGCTAATGAAATACACCTCCATCCTCACCCACATAACACTTTGGATTTCCCTGTAGAAGGATTTAAATGTATGGGCTCGGTATGTAAGGGAGGAAGTATGAGGCCTTTTGTATGGGTGGGAAGGTGGCCTCAGAGGCCTACGGCAGCTTGTGGAAGAAGTGGCGCTCGTGGTGAAGTAGTACTAAATTAGTAGATTTTTACATTGAAGAAAGCTTCAATTAGGGAGATACAAAGTGTTCCACTATGTTAAAAGAAGAAGAAGACAAGCAAAAGAGGCATGGGTCAGGATAAAGTGTTATAAAATATCAATTTTACTCTAAAGAGTACATTTTTATTTTTATTATCATGACCTTGTCTTTGACACCTCTTTCCTTTAATCCTTGTGTACAAAGTGATTGCATTGATCATTTAATCTGAAGTTTGCTTCAACAATGGTTGAACTGACTTTGAGACAAACCTTTATAAACGTAGTATGCAGTAGGGTTAAAATGCATGATTGCTGTTTTTCCTTAATATGAGTACCTTGAACAGAATAAAATTCGGTCGTCATGGCAACCATGAAAGAAAGATTATAGAACTCTTCCTACAAGGCACATTCCATAGCTGGTGCCAAGTAAGTATCATTTTTCTTTATTTGAATATATTCTATATGTTGAGCATCATCGATAATCTCGAATTATCTGATTTGATAAAATCTCGCTGAGTACAATGTACATCAATGTAATGCCCGATGCTTTTTATTACCTCCCTTTGCTGGCTCCACTTTCTCACGGTAGCCAATCAGCTAAGCTGCCATTTGCAACTGAGCTTGCCAGTGTAAAAAACAAAGATAAGCTCACAGCTGCACTTGCGAAGGTTTGTTAAGCAGTACAACTCATATGATGTGTGGGAAATCATACAGACAAATTGACGGAGTCCTGAATCTTAAAAATATGTGCAAGAACTCTTTCTACTTCTTTTCAGAGTACCTCTGCAGCGATTATATTTGCCAAGTTAAATTGGTTAGATAAAATAAGCAAAAGTGAGTTGTGACTGGTGCGCTCCAACTTCCCAACTTCCCTGATTGGATAAAAGCCCAGCCAAGGGAGGTAATAAAATCTTAGGACCGAGGCGTAGATTGCATCAGGGTGCAGTGGAGGTTTATAAGTAGCGTATATACCCTGGAGATAATGAGGATGTATTTTTGGGTAGCCAGAATTTACAATACCTACAAATTCATTTGATAAGCTACTTTTGTGTTTCATTGTTGCAATGTTTCTGTACTGGGAACCCTTGCACTCATGTATGAAGTCGTTATCCATGCGTTTGTCAGTGAAGTAAGCATGATGTTCACACCCAACTGTCTACTTGATATATCCTCTGTCACTACTTGTGATAATCGAATCTCTATCTGTCATCAATGCAGGGGTGGCCCACTTGTCAAAGGTGAATTCAGAGTTCAGATCTCAGTTTACCATGATTGTGTTTTGAGGTTTGTCATCACCAAATACATGCGTTTGATTCGTTTAAATCCTGCATCATTTTAAGTTTTCCTCCACTATATTGAGGAACACCATAATATGAATAAAAGAAAGTTTGATCCCCTCCACCATCCTCCATCATCAAAAAGGGGTATACAGTGAAGCCTCGTTAATCCGGACAGTTCGTTTCTCCAACAAATTAGATCCGGAGTTAAAATAATCGTCGAGACTAATGAATCAAGACCCACAAGTTCAGAAGCAAGAGTTGCTTCCCTTACTTTACAAAAGCGACCGCGACTCTGGATAAAACAAATAAGCATTTAATGCATGAAAGCTTATAAAAGATGAATAGCGAAACACACCAATAAAGAGAATTATAGTCATAAGCAAAAATCTTTCAAAGTTGTTTTCAAGCACTCATAACATCATCCGTATCTGATCGCGTCCTTCACTCCAGCGCCTGGAGGAGGTAATGTCTAACAGGCGATCTCTTGTACTATGCCTTGAATTATTCCCGCATCAAATATGCAGGTTGAATGTATGAGGCGTGGTATTTGGGGACAAAAATGCAAGGTCACGCCATGAGATTAATGAAGCACACTTGTGACTTGCGGCGTCGAATGAAACCTAAAAATCACTTTAAAAGATCACATGCCGCTCTCTCGGGGGGTACAAATACATAAATCACTAATTGACATCATTATAAATGAAACCCGTCATTAAGACTACTCATTTTAGGTCTTTAATTAACTTAAATCTACCTTTTTGACAACAGCAGTGCACGAATTCTACTCTCAACCCAGCGACGGAAATTTCCAACCAATCAGGCTGAAGCATCTCTGTGATGCCATATGAGGGACAGATATGAGGGCTGATGCAGAATTCATGTACATTTCAGGGGTAAATTATCTTGTTTACAGACTTGTATAAACCTGAATTACAGTAACAACTGTTAATGAAAATGAAAGCTATATGTTCTCACAATCTACTGTCATTTAATTTTGTCTCCTGCTTGCCTAGTTTCGAGTTACAACTTGTGTTCATAGAGCGATGATTCTGTCTAAATGCGGCTTGAGTATCGCTAGGCCTTATTTATTCGAGCCAGGCGGCTAGTGATAGTAAGCGATGATCAGTTTAGATGCAGTTATTTGAAAATATCGGTGGTTCTTGTCTGATTGTAATAAAAGTATCAAAAGCAGTGTAGGCGTTTTCAAGCTTTCTAATGCCTGGATGGGTATAATGGCTGATCAAATTGATCCCATTTCTGTAATTTTGTTTTACCTCAATATTTAGACATCTATTACGATATTTAAAACTGACATTTGATTTATTTGAACCTGTAAACTAAACAACCCTACTTTGCCATTGCTAGAAGAATCTAAGAATTTACTTAGGGAAACAGGTACATACATTATTAGCAGCACAATAGCAAATGCCTATATGTATTTCTTATGCAACAATGAAGTTCTGTTTGTATTCTCAAAACAGTGTCGGCCCATAAGTTTTCACATGCAGTTAAAATTGCATGCAATACGGCAATTAATACTCCCTTGTAACCCGTGTTAGGTGGTATAAACCTACACGATATTTGTCATCATTCGCTTGATGGTCGGTTAATGAATTTATAACAGGTATAATTAGTTAAGGCAACACCACTTAGATTACCCGACAAAAGGTTCCCATTTTGGTATTTCTTGTGTCTGGAGTAAATACTCAACATTATAAACATCGATCAAAGGATTAACCGATAACACGTAGCTGATTGATTAATTACTCTTATCTTGCACAGTGGATTTGTCAAAGGTAGTGTTTATGTATGTAGATTTACTAATCTATACTGAATACACTGTCGTGTGTCTGTATAAAACAACGTCAGCCTTCTTTCAAAGGATTAACCACCAGTACATTGATTGATTGCCCATTATTGGCTAACTAAATAACTTATTTTTTAAAGAAGGCGGACATTATGCAATTGGATTTGCCAGGTGTGCTATCTTGGGTGACCAATGAGACTATACACACTAATGTAGAAATACCTGAAGCGATATATCACTCGCTTGGTACATTGGACTGTTAAAGACACATCATTTGGAACAGCTGCAGATGAATGGCATATCACTCGTTTTGTGGATATTGATGGATACATTCCTCGAACAAGGGAAATAGCTGGACATTGTTCCTGTAACTTTAATCTGTTTTAATTTTAACATTTGCAATTTGTTTGTTTTCTTTATTTGTCCTAGCATTCAACCAGAATCATTGTTTTTTATATTCAAGGATATGATGTAGAAAACTACCTTATCACGGTAAAGGCGTATTGGATACCTTCAACAAATTCTCAACTCATTACACCAGTTCATTTCTAAAAGTACGCTTCCAGTGATTATCACCTCTACATATACATGTATATTCCATGCAAGACAAGATTTATATAACTTGACTTCCTCGCGGCCAGCTCATTTCGTTGCTAGGCACAACCAACACCATAAACCAATATTTATTATTCAATCATTTTTCTGGAGGTGTAATTTTGTCTCAGTATTATTCTTTTCTTGTCGGACTATTTCAATTTTGTATCCAGCTATATTGGAACCGTGTACTGGAGGCTGGCGTTTATATATAAGCCACTAGGCATGTTAGCCTATCCAGGTTTCTGCATTGATGGAATAAAAATATGTTTAAACCAATCATTGTTTTAGCGGTGAAGTGTAATGAGAACGAGGCAACATACACTAGGGTGTGTGTGCATATTATGATTCACATTGTTGCCAAACTATAAACTGTCAGATATCACAGTCCTGTTATAAATTCCTTTAAGGAAGTATCAGCAGATGCGCCTGCTTTTATTAAGTTTCAAAATGCATACAAGTATGATAATAAACCATTGGGCGTTAATACGCGTGAATGTAGCAAAATTTATAAGCGCGCAGTATTGTCATTTCGACCCTACCTGCAGCTTCCGTGGAAGAAATGCGTTATGTTACAAGTGGTGTCATGCAAAATCCTTTTGGTCATGATTCAAATCCATATTTACCTACGAGTAGAAAGTAGTTTTGATTTTCTGGCTTGAGTGAAAACAAAACCATAATCTCATTAATTCTAACGGACTTTAGCCCGTGGCGTCGCGATTTTCCAAAAGGTGGCTCCCTCGCTCGGGAACATCCGCCAGTCTGAGGAGAAATGCTATAGGTTTGTTTTTCAAGCGTTTTACAAAATCAAAACTACTTTACTGGTAGTAAATATGTATTTGATTGATGGCCAATATGATTTTGTGACATAACTTATAACATAACAATTTCACTCAAATGGAGGCGAGGTGGGTGTCAATATAATACTACTTACAATATTATTGTTACTTGACCACAACCTGCGGCTTCGAGGTTAGAAATGCGTTAAGTTACAAGTTGTGTCATGGAAAATCTTTATGGTCATCAATCATATACATATTTTACTACAACTAGTAAATAGTTTTGATTTTTTAACTTCCGGAAGGCGATCTGGAACACAAGTAAGATATCGTTCCAGGCTTCCACAATGCTCGCCGCTCTCACAAACTTAACCCATTTAGCGCGAACTCTTGGGGTCCTGCTGGGGAAATCTGTGCATGGTGACACCATAAGCCCGACCCTAGGAGCAATTGGCGATAAGCGCGATTCGACATGTCTTCATTGATGATCGAGAAATCATCAAAATGACAGAGCTTACTACACGCTTTACAACTAACTGAAAAATCCTTCCTATTATGATGTCACATCAGTGCTCTGGCGACAGAGTTCAAAGTAACCAGTCTGTGGTTTTACGTTGGTGAGAGTGAAAGTGAAGCAGGCGACTTTTGGCAACTTTTAATTAAATCGGTATTAATTAACCATAAGTTTTTTAAGAATGAATTTGGTGTTCCAGCGTAAGACTAACCACAAAACCGCGTATGACTAACCACAAATCTTTCATATGTCCATGTCCAGATCCATGTGACCGCATCTGTCTGTCAAAAGTACATTAACCGTCACGGAAACAAGCTCCGCGATGTCAATCAAACTGTAAATGTACAGCATCTTCAGTCGGGAGCTTATAATGTCTAATTAAAACAACAACCCTTAATTGACATTTCTCAAAAGTTAACAAAGAGTTCATCTTGTCAACTCCATGACCGAGTGTTTATTGTTTGAGGCCAGTTAAGTAAATGCGGCGGGATGTGTTATTCTACGGTTGAAGAACATGGCGGTACAGCATCCGGACTGTGAAAACAATTTACTGTTTATTTTACTGATTGGTTACAACTACTTACCATCCGGTTCGGAAAGCGAATTTCCGTATTATCGAGGCAAATTAAATGGGCATAGATTGGTAACAGGCTGAAATCGTCCGGGAGGCAAGACAACCCGGATTATGCGGTCGGACTAACAGGGCTTCACTGTATATGCTATGATATCTATAGGATCCCTCCCACCATCCTCCATTATCAAGGGTAAATATCTGTATATGATCCCTCTCCACCATCCCTCCATCATCAAGGGTAAATATCTCTATATGATCCCTCCCACCATCCTCCATTATCAAGGTGTATATCTCTATATGATCCCTCCCTGCATCCTCCATCATCAGGGTGTATATATTTGTATATGATCCCTCCACCATCCTCCATCATCAAGGGGTATATATCTCTATATGATCCCTCCACATCCTCCATCATCAAGGGTATGTATCTGTATATGATCCCTCCCTCCATCCTCCATCATCAGGGTAAATATCTCTATATGATCCCTCTCCACCATCCTCCATCATCAAGGGTATATATCTCTATATGATCCCTCCACCATCCTCCATCATCAGGTATATATATCTCTATATGATCCCTCCACCATCCTCCATCATCAAGGGTATATATCTCTATATGATCCCTCCCACCATCATCCATCATCAAGGGTATATCTCTATATGATTCCTCTATATGAGCCTCCATTATCGGAGCAGTAGGGTAGCCTAGTGGATTGCAAAGCGTTGGCTCGTCAGCTGAAGACCGGGTTGAAACCCCACATGGGTACATTGTGTGAAGCCCATTTCTGGTGTCCCCTTATGCGATGTTGCTGGAATATTACTTGCTAAAAGCGCGATAAAACTAAACTCAGTCAGTCAGTCCTCCATTATCAAGGGTATATATTTGATCCCTCCTATCATCCTCCATTATCAAGGGTATATCTCTTTATGACCCTCCACCATCCTCCATTATCAAGGGTATATATCTCTATATGATCCCTCCGCCCATCCTCTATCATCAAGGGTATATATTTGTATATGATCCCTCCACCATCCTCCATCATCAAGGGTATATATCTCTATATGATCCCCCCACCATCCTCCATCATCAAGGGTATATATCTCTATATGATCCCTCCCACCATCATCCATCATCAAGGGTATATATCTCTATATGATCCTCCATTATCAAGGGTATATATCTCTATATGATCCCTCCCACCATCCTCCATCATCAAGGGTATATATCTCTATATGATCCTCCATTATCAAGGGTATATATTTGATCCCTCCTATCATCCTCCATTATCAAGGGTATATCTCTATATGATCCCTCCCACCATCCTCCATCATCAAGGGTATATATCTCTATATGATCCCTCCCACCATCATCCATCATCAAGGGTATATATCTCTATACAGGGCTGGATTTAAGAGATGTTAACCTACTTGCACCAGGTGCAACCTAAGATAAAAACCTAGTTGCACCAGCCAAATTCCAGTTGCACTGCTTTATTGCGATATACATGTAATGAAAGACATATGCTAAATTATTTAGATTTCTTTTTTCAGAAGTTTCCCACTCAAAATAGACTTGCACCTGGTGCAAGTTAGACTAATAACTAGGTTGCACCTTGTAATATTGGGTTGCACCAATGCAAGTAACAAAGCACTAAATCAGCCCTGTCTATATGATTCCTCTATATGATCCTCCATTATCAAGGGTATATATTTGATCCCTCCTCTCATCATCCATTATCAAGGGTATATCTCTTTATGATCCCTCCACCATCCTCCATTATCAAGGTATATATCTCTATGTGATCCCTCCCACCATCCTCCATCATCAAGAGTATATATATCTCTATATGATTCCTCCCACCATCCTCCATTATCAAGGTGTATATCTCTATATGATCCACATTTCTGGTGTTCCCAGCTGTGATATTGCTGGAATATTGCTAAAACTCACTCTCACCTACTCCTGTTTTCAGTCACAAGACCGGGAGTGTGGAACTGGTAGACACAGCTCTAGCTCTGGCTCAGGCCTACGCCAGCACTGGACGTGAGGAGGCGGAAGGTTTGTTACAGTATTGATCAGATTGTAGGTTTTATTGGAAAGAAAATACCATATGCTCAGAAGAGAAGCTATGAAAACGCATTCTTTGTTAGTCTTGCGACTGTCATAGACATGTGTTCTGTTCTTTCTGTATTTGATAAATGACTTTGATTGCACAGGTTTATGTATTTAAACTATGAGAGCGAGAGAGACATGGATGCCATCTTCAGATTGCTCAGGTTCCTCTATTTGACCTATGACACACAGACATGGATGCCATCTTCAGATTGCACAGGTTCATGTATTTAAACTATGAGAGCGAGAGAGACATGGATGCCATCTTCAGATTGCTCAGGTTCCTCTATTTGACCTATGACACACAGACATGGATGCCATCTTCAGATTGCACAGGTTCATGTATTTAAACTATGAGAGTGAGAGAGACATGGATGCCATCTTCAGATTGCTCAGGTTCCTCTATTTGACCTATGACACACAGACATGAATCATGCCATCTTCAGATTGCACAGGCTCATGTATTTAAACCTATGAGGAGCGAGAGAGACATGGATGCCATCTTCAGATTGCTCAGGTTCCTCTATTTGACCTATGACACACACAGACATGGATGCCATCTTCAGATTGCACAGGTTGATGTATTTAAACTATGAGAGCGAGAGAGAGACATGGATGCCATCTTCAGATTGCTCAGGTTCCTCTATTTGACCTATGACACACAGACATGGATGCCATCTTCAGATTGCACAGGTTCATGTATTTAAACTATGAGAGTAAGAGAGACATGGATGCTATCTTCAGATTGCTCAGGTTCCTCTATTTGACCTATGACACACAGACATGGATGCCATCTTCAGATTGCACAGGTTCATGTATTTAAACTATGAGAGTGAGAGAGACATGGATGCCATCTTCAGATTGCTCAGGTTCCTCTATTTGACCTATGACACACAGACATGGATGCCATCTTCAGATTGCTCAGGTAACTTCTGTATTTCAGCGTCAGCCGAGAGTTACCTGAATGAGTGTCAAGCCAACTGTACAGCTGTCCACGGACCGCATCACACCAAGACCCTGGAGGTGAACGACGAGATCGCCAGGCTGCTCATCAGGACAGACAGACAAGATGTAAGCAGTCATATACTTCATAATAAATAGTGTATGATATTTGGAATACCTTCAGTAACTTGACATACCTAACTCTGTAGAAATGTAATAGGCACTATATCACACCAGACTTGTGTTACGGTTAACAATTTGTCGTCACAAAAGGTTTAAGAGTCCCCTTTGAGCCAGCAAAATAGAACACAGACAAGTCTAAAATATTCAATAATATATTGAGCGAACAATGAGGAAGTTACAATGAATGACAATACAGATTTCTAGTACACAAGAGTCACAAATCTAAAATATTGGGTCACAAATATAAAATATGAACTCACCAGAGTCTTGACATTCACAGTGAGAATAGATATACTGATTGAAGGTTGTTTACAATGACAGCAGTGGAATAGACAAGCATGGTCCTGAAACGTTGATAAACTTGATGATGTCAGACAGATGTGTCTAAATCCAATGTTCTTAAAGTCATGTAATGTTAGTCCCCTGCACAACTCACAATCATCCCTCTATATAGCTCTTACACAGTTTTCAAGCATTCTGGCACAGCTAGGCTACATCAGTATCCTCTCAGAACGTTATTGAAGTCCATCGAAAACACAAGACACGGCGAGGCCATCACCGGATGTCAAAACAACTAAACAAGATTGTCAAGGGCAGGTAATTCCAAAGCTCTGTCTCAAAACGCATGCCGCTTAAAATACTATTGCCATTGAACTCACATTATGCGGGATAACGAAGCCAAAACCCACACTCAAAACGCGTGACCCATAATAACTATGAGTTAATCAATGTGATATTACAAATTACAAAAACACACTCTCATAACACTTGTCTAAAAATAAATGATGCATTTCTTGCAATAATACTATCAGCCCTCAGCGAAGCTACCATATAATTTATTCAAAAACAAATTACATATTTAGATTACAATATTAAATTAAAACTTTGAATGAATTAATGCAACGTTGCATTAAATCAACTCTTGCGCCCTCTACAGGCGAGAAACATTATATCATCTGAACCCCATAGAGTTATGTCTCTTGGAGAACTCTTTACGAATAACTTGTGATTGAAACCAGTTCGCAAACATCGACAACACCGCGTGCAACAGTTTTTTCGATGCTTGAGAGAGCAAATTGTTTACATTCAAGTGTGGCAAGTGCTCTCTGTTTGAAGCTGTTCAAAGCTTTGAAGTTTCAATTATCTATTTCAGAAAAGTCGTAAAAGCGATAATAGGTCCTTAATTGCATCAATAGGAAGCTAAAAAGAGTGCATATGCCCAAATATATATAATATAGTCCAAAATATTGAAAATGTGTGACATTGTGCCTCTAAGATTCTGGTAATATTTCTATGGATGAACAAAAGACTGAAACAGGAAGATGTGAAGACATTAGTTTAAGTAGATGTTATCACCACCAACAATCTTGAAGGACAATTGGGCTGAGATGTCAAATTCTAAAGGAAGCATTTTATTGAATGACATAAACAGTGTTTGGGTTTGTTGACACTGCTCCATAATCTGCTGATCGCAGACTGTGAAACATTGAAAGTATTTGCAACTGTACACTAAGGTCTACCAGTTTCCTGAATCCTGTAGATACTCTGCACATTTCAGATGCCACATAGCTGGTTCAGACAATGCATGAAATCTAGTAAATATCAACTGTATTATCACGCGCAGAATCAGTAAGATTGACAGAGATTAATCAACCCAACTTCTAGCGTGTGAGAATCAAGATGATGCCTCTGTGTGCGGAACTTGCAAACTATTGGATGTTATTGTGTCTTCAGCACATATCTTTGTCCTAATACTTGTTACTAACATACCATTAGCACCGGAAATTTTCGAGGTATCTAATTTCCTCGAGGTTTTTGAGGTTAGAAAGCGCAACCCGAAAATATTATATCCACGAATTTTTCCGAACTTCTGCACCTTGGGCTAGAATTTCCTATCGATAAGCGTTTCAACTGCTGGCAAACAATGACTTCCTGACATGCACATTAACTCTGTAATGCCTGTCAACAACCACGCTTATTAGACTCATTTTGTCACCGATCCAAATGTAGCGACTTATCGACTCAAACAAACTTTTATTCGTATGCGATGGCACGCGTTTGAGTCAAGCTACATACATGTATAAACTATCGTGAAACAAAAGAGTTCAACTTCTCAGCTTTCTAACAACAACATAGTTTCAGCAGACACCCATGCATACATGCTTATAATTAGTTGTTAAGAAAAACAATATAGTCTGAGAAAAATGGGTCACATGTTTGAACTCTGCCGACAGAATGTTTAGAGTAGGGCCATTTATCATAACAAAGGATCAAAGCGTTTGTTTTCATTTTACTATTATTATTGCTGTCATGGACTGGTATACCGGTTGTTATAACAGTCAGACAGCAGTTATCACTAGCTACTGGGAGTTTTGCCGATAGCTCAGTGAGTATTGGTCCCGTTAGAAGTGATGTTTCTGGCCACTTTCTTCTAACCTCGAAATTAACATTGTCTAAAATATTTACATATTTTAGGTCCCAAAACCCTAAATTTAAATCACCTCTCGAAAGCTCTGGGGGTCTCAAAACCTCCGAAATTTTAATACCTTGAAAATTTTCGATTATCTGGTAAAACAGGTTCTATGAATTAGCAAAAATTTCACCCTGCACTGGTGCATGTTTCACTACCTGGCTGCTGGTACAGGTTGCCCTTAGTAACAGGGTGCACATGGTGCAGGTTACAATAAATCATCAACATCAAAAGCTGTCATGCGTGTGTGTTTTAATGCTGGAACAGTAGAAGTGGTTGGAAGTAACAAAACTTGTTTGCGAAGCATATATGGAGAGTATGACCAGAATTATTATTGAGAATTTTAGGAATAATGTATAATTGGATTTCTGGTATACTGACGGCTGACTGAGTTTGGTTTTACGCCGCTTTTAGCAATATTCCAGCAATATCACGGTGAGGGGACACCAGAAATGGGCTTAACACATTATTGTGCCCCATGTAGGGACTTCGAGAACCCAGGCCTTGGTAGTGACGAGCCAAACTTTAACCACTAGGCTACACCCACGCCCAGTTTCTAGCAGGTATATATAAATAACCTTGACCAGCTATCAAGTTAGCTTGGTTTCATTCAAGAGAGACAACTCTGTTAATCATTTTCATTAGTTTTGTGAAGAGTTATCCCCTTTTGTTTGCCTTGCTAGCAGATCGACATTTTCAGTGATCCTCAGTATGGATGATTTAGAGAAGAGGAAGTTGATTTTAAAGTATTATACGGGGACATCAAGATCAGCTAAAGGATTTCCAAAGTAGAACAGGCATCCCTTTGTCCACTGTTTAGCGTGTTTTGAAAAATATTGCAAATGGATATGGCATTGAGCAAATTCAGGGAGAACGCCAGGTAGGCCCAGAAAATTGACTGTCCATTGGTGACAGCAGGAGGCTTGGTATTTTTGTTTCAAAACAAGCGAAGGAGTTTAGAAACTTAAGGCTGGATATGATTGATGAAGACTTTGGAAACTGTGGCCGTTTGTAAGAAGAGCAATGAATTAGAACTTGAGCTGCATGCAATTGGTTGGCAGAAAAGAGTGAGGAATTCCATTACCTATTATCATGAAACCTATGAACAAAAGGCGAAGGTTGAACTGGTGCTTACAGCATACACACTCTTTAACTGGGACAATGTGATATTCTCAGATGTAAGAAAGTTCTGTGTGGCTGTTTTCCTAATACTACTGAAATTCTGAACCGAAACAATCTGAAAAACCTATGTATCGAAAGCCCAGAAGTACAGTCGAGGGAAATTTAGCGATGTGGGGTGAGCATATATCTGTGTTAGGGTAGCGCCCTCTACCTCTGTATTATGTGTGAATAGGCGAACAGTGAGCGGTACCACAGATACTTTCGAGGAAGCATTTTACTTCCATTTGCTCCGTGTTCTATGGAAATTTTTGGATTTCCAGCAGGACAACGACCCAAAACATCGTTAAAAGCATTCGCATACCTGGTTTCAAACGCAAAATATGACATTATTAGATTAGCGGCCCGAGCTATAGCCCTGACCTAAATCAATTAGAAAATGTTTGGGGGGCTTATGGAAGGAAAAGTGTCGAGCGTAAGAAAAACCTGACAAATATTGCTGAAATGAAAGAAAGAGGTGGTCCGATATTGGGGACAAAGCATGGACCAACGACTTTGTCACTTCTTTGATCCAGTAGTATGCCCCGCCAAGATTGAAGCTTCACATTGCTGCTCATGGTGACTTGAAGGCTGAAATACTAACTGTTCACCTGTCTTTGAATCTGGAGTTATGTTCGGCTAATAAATATTCACATTTAATACTGAGAAATGAGTGAAATCTTTTTAAAATTACAATCTTTAAATTCTCAATAATTTCTGGTTTGTACTGTACATTTGTGTACTCATCAATCAGTTACGTAGCAAGTAATCAGTTATAGGAGATTTTAGAAATAAAGGTTATGCAAACTTGAAACAGAATCATCCATCATCATCATCATGGGCTCCTGTCAGGTTCTATTTGAATGTATCTGATACACTGAGTACTTTGTTATGAAAATTAAGCTAAACAAGTATTTAGAGTTACGTTTTTAGAACCATTAGTGACATTATTTTGATGGTGCAATGAAGCCTATTAGCCATGTTGCACTCAGTGCGGGTACTGGAAACAGAAACCAAAATGACGTTCCTTGATATATAATTCATGATCTTCTGCCCTATTTTGAAAATAATATTTTAATTTTTATTATTTGTTTTTATCACCTTTAAAGGAAGCCATGGTAATTCTCAAGTCAATGATATTAAACTACGAAGGGAGGAAGTGCGAGTATTGCGGGGACTGCTTTCGAACAAATTCCGGGCGCAGCCCCTACCAAGATGTATGATGGCGTCTGTCCACCTCTTCTCTCTCTCAAAGAGTGAGAAGCGCACTCCGATCTTACTGGGAAGAAGGTGTGAGGTATAAAGGAAACGCAGTAGCC